CGTGGGGCTGGTGCTTTGAGGCAGAGGACAGAGCGCGGAGGAAAAGCGCCGACAGACCTGGACAGGGAGAGGAAAAGGGACAACAGTAGTCTGCTCATTTTTTTTAAAAACCCAACGCCTTGTTTGGGTGCACACTTATTGTTAGTAGGGGAAAAAGGGGCGGTAGGGTGGGGGTGTGGGGGATGTGTGTGTGTGTGTGTGTGTGTGTGTCCGCCTGTGTGTTCTCCGCTTCGGTGAAAAGCGGAGGAGCTATTGTTTTACATATTTCTTTCTCTAACGTCTTTTGCCGTGATATTCTTAAAACCAAGTATATTTTTTCTTCCCTTCTTCTTCTAAATTATCACGCAAGATGCATAATTGATTCGGAGACATAGAGCCTCCATAGCTTTTAGGTCCGAACTGTTTTCTCATGGCCATTGTAACGGGGGACGTTAACATTCCCCTCGGTGTGGCATCTCTAGATTGATTTTCCCATTTTCTCGTACAGAACAATGGGCCTAACCCGCTTAGTCTCTCCCTGCTCTTACCCACTTTGGGGCGCTCCGTTCCCCCCCCCGCTGGTTCAACCAGCGAGCGCGCGTTCTTGAAAACGGAGCGGTTCTGGCTGAAGACACTCAGAGATTCCAGGGTCGCTTACAGAGCGATACTAACGCGCAGCCGCTAGCTTCAATCTAGAACAAAAGCCCCCAAAAATCCCGCACACAGTCTATGCTGTGGCAATGCATGAAATACCCCAAAAATACATAAATAAACAAATCCCCGTGTCGACTTAAGTGCTCGTTACGCAGATGAAAAGACAAAACTCACCAAGTTAGGTTCTTTTTGGTCTTGTGTGGCCAAAGAATCCTTCCATGCGCGGGACGAGCGCGCCCTCCTTTGTCTCCAAATAGAGAAGAGGCTGGTGTTGTTTCCAGGTCGGCCAAACGCGGCCGCTCGTCCCCGCCGAAAGGATCCATGCCAAGACATGTCAGCAACGCCAAATTGTTGTAGAATTACATACCCCAAAACAAGGAGAAAGCCCAAAAGTATTTGTCTTAAATCAGGAGCGTAAGTTTATTGTAACGCACGTGCGGAGGGCTGACTACACAGAAACAGCGTGCATTCAGCTCTGGCTCGCAGAGCTCCGAGTTTCCTGTTTACAAGACACACACGAAAGCCAGTCCCGCCCACAACAGATGGGAGGGGGCCACCGGTGCAGGAGGCGCATAGGGATGCAAACAGACTGCAGGATGTAGAAAGTGCACACATACAGACCGATACATATGCAAGAGGTGAAAGGGGGCAAGAGTGATCGCCATTGTCTGTAGGTGTCGGGGGGGACCCGGCTCCTTCCTGGAGCAGGGACATATGGATAGAAGCAGGCATACAGATGCAAGATACGAAAGACACAAGGGTGTGACAGACAGCAGGGGCCCTCACAAAGCTCAGCATGGCGTCAGAAGGTCGTCTCTGCATTGATAAAAGGCCTTTGACGTCCGTGTATTTGCTGCGGCTGGTTTTATGTAATTACTCCAAAAACTGTCACCACAACTGCAACACTGACATTTTCCCATTGTGGGAAGAATGAGGGTCCTCTTATCTAATGAGCATTGCCTTTGACATCACCAGTTTGTCTCCATCATGAGCAGATGTGGGATCCTACGTGATTGATAAAACAATATATTTAGTTCTCAGCATTTATCATTTGTACAGTACATTTCTGTGCAATAGTCCTGTGGAGGGATTGATGTGGCTGAATACTACTGTTTTCTAAATTGATAAAATAGGGATCATTCTTTTTTATCGTACTTGCATCATTTAAAATAGATTCATTACAATCGTGTATCCTGAGATTCTACGTCAGAGAGAGATACACCGACGTAGTTTTAAAGGCAGTTTTCCCAATTAGACAATGATCAGTAGATTACAGGTGTCTGCTGTGGTGACTTCTGCGAGGTACAGAGGAAAACATATGTTTTCAGTAAAGACATTAAATAAAGTTTCCGCCTGTAGCTGCGATGCCTCATGTCCGCGTCATCCTTTCTCTCTTTCCTCATAAACAGTACAGACATTCATCTGGTTAAAGAGCATCTGACAATACACTGCCTTGTGGGGTGATAACAAAGCTTGCGGTTGCACTTTATGTCATGTTACAACCACAAACATGAAGATTTAATGATGAACAACCACAACAAAGTAACTGTGAAGTGAAAGCATCATGAGTTTGTGGAACCTCCTTCAGTTGAAATCCAAGCAGCGAGTTATAGTTAGTTAGATTGTATTTATAACCTGCAGAACACAATTTCCCATATCTTCACACTTATTTGTCAAGTACATTTGTACAACCACAAACATAAACAGTCTAACAGTTCACTTCTGGCCACAGTTTAGACAACTTAAAGCAAGATTTAGTTCTGGGACATAAAAGGTGGGTAGAACATAAAACATCCATCCATTTTCTCACGCTTTATCTGTTGCCGGGTCACAGGGGCAGCAGTCTGAGCAGAGTCACCCAGACATCCCTATCCACAAGCACCTCAGAGATCCTCAGTGTGAACACCTGTAGATCCATGGAACACCTCCTGCACCGCTGTCACAACATCATCAGAGACCACTCCCATTCATCACATCGACTGTTCCACCTGCTGCCCGTGGGACATGAGGTACAGGTCACTCTCTGCCCGAACCAGCAGAATGGCCACAAGCCTTCTTCCCCCAGGCTGTCAGACTGCTCAATGAACACTGCCCCCCTCCTCACCCCCACAGCCCCCCATTATCCTTCACTTTTACATACCTGCCATAACTCTGAACTGGTCGTGCATTGTTTCAGCTAACATACTCACTTACATACGGTTACTGTTACTGTTTTGCTAATCTCCCTCATCAAGCCCTGTGCTGTTCACATCCAACTTCTGCACTTTATACTCTCTGTTTTCACGGTGGTGCTCAAAATCTAATTTTGTAATATTTGTGACTAATAAATTATTGAATCTTTACTCTTGAATCTTGAACTCCCCCAGCTCAGTCGTTCTACACGTCAGCTTCTTCAGACAAAAAGTGAAAAAGAGAGTCCACCCTCAACCAATCAGATGTGAAAGATGTGTTCTTTCTTGCACTTATACAAAATATAACAGGTCTCCTAATACCATGAAGACAGCATGTGGTGGTCTAATATGTTCAGAGCATTCTACTCTATTGTCAGACAAATCAATCAATCAATCAATTTTATTTATAGAGCCCTTACAACACTCAAGGCGACCAAAGTGCTTCACAATAAAATTACATAAAATCCATTAAAACATGTATGCATTAAAACAATAAAACCAGACAAAAACATGTGTTATTCAACTATGTTTTAGTGAAATGAGTACGCCATCACCTGAGCTTTGAATAAGAGTTTGAAACAGAGCGTCCACCCATCAGCCCTCACCCCCCACCCCCCTCCTCACCCCCCTCACCCCCCCTCTCATACCATGGCCCCGGTGGCTGCGCTCAAAAGCCAGACCCAGCGGACGCAGAGTGGGTGACAGACAGAGGCCAAAGAGGAGCGCAAGTGACAAGACCCGTGTCCAACCCAAAGCCGTAAGAAGATCACGGAGCGTCTGCTGGAAGTCCTGCGCGGAGGAAACATTCGTCCGCCCGCAGTGAGAGAGTCGGATGAGGAGAAGAGGCGAGCGGAGGGAATTGGATAGGCCAAATTACAAGGAGTGAGTACCCCGTGGCGTAAACTCACTGCACCTGTCTCCACGTCATGAGTCTGCACACTTAGCCCAAAAACTACACTTGTCAATTACAAACAAACAAGGGAGATCATTTCTATTCAATTTCATTTTTTTTTGCTTTAGTTAAAGTTTGGTGGCTTTGTGTTTTTGCCTACTGCCCAATGCAACAAATATGCTGATCCATGTTGCAAAAAAAAAAAAAAAAAAAATCCTTCTTTAATCTGTAGTCCAAAGTAGATAACTTGATTTTGACAGCTGTAAGTGCTTTTAAAGAGTATGCCTTTTAACAAATTGAACAATTAGAGTTGGAGTACTTAACTTTTTCTTTGCTTCATAAATACATTTGATTCGTCCCAACAGAAAGAGTCAGTTTAAGTAACAGAGAAAGAGAAAGTTTAAGTAACATATTGTGGACAAATCAGACCATGCTGTCGTCGTGAGCGTTTTTATACCTACTGAGAGCTGATTGGCTGAGTGAGGGCTGGTATTTTCTGGTACTTAAAAAGCTGATCTAATGATGTGACAAAATACTTTACAATTTCTGCGGTTTCAAAGTTAGGTCCAGCTTCCAAAGTAGAAAAAGTATAAAGAAAAAATGTATTCACAAATATAAAAATGGCTCAAAAGAAGTCACATCAATTAGTGAAATTACTGGGCAGTAACAGATTCTTTTAACAGTACGTATAAGACATGTCCACATCACATGCATTCGAGAGTACCTTATTGACTTCTCAGTACTATAGATTGTAGTAATGTGGTTACTGTAAAGAAGACGTTTTTAGAACCAATCTCTCTATGGTTTGCGAAATTAAATTACCTCTCCTGGATGTGTCTTAGTGCTCTGGTATAGGATATGTTCAGTTGCTATATCCCAAGCATTTTCTCTTGTAAGTTTTTGCACAATGACAAGTTTTCTGTGTCAGGGTGACTCAAAAATACCATTTGTATTTAGAGAATCTACATTTAAAGTATTTTCTACTGCAGTATTGCAGATGCAGTATTTTTATACTGCATCTTTTCTGCAGTATAAAAGGTGGGAAAAGGGGATTGAAAAGTGATAATGACACATACATTCAATTACTTATTATCAATTTGCTTATTGGCAGTGGCAGCTCCTGACTTACTGGACCCAAAATCGGCAACACACAACAGCAAACCGCGGCTCTCCTTCTCCACAAAGCCGATCACCCTGACAGCGCGGGAGGAGAGCGCGGTGAGTGCATGAGTGGGCTCCATGAGTGCGTTTTCTGGATGACTTTTGACTCATCGCCTCCAGTGTTTCAGGTGGTCGCTACGGTGATGAAATGGAAGACAGTGACGGGCATTTTCCTCCTGGTCGTGCTCTATTTGGTAATGGGTGCAGCGGTGTTCAAAGCACTGGAGCAGCCCCATGAGAGGTACGGGGCTATGAAAGAAAGTTATATCAAATGCAATAAGTTTACTTCTGATATTTAATCTGGCATACCTAACTTTCAATGCACAACCAATTTTTTGTCACAAAGCTAATTTTCAGTTTCCAATATGCAAAAGTTTTGCACAAGTGCTATGTGCTATGGACTTATTCATTTACTGCTACTACTTTTATCTGACTCTTTCTGTTGTTTTCATGGGGGAAAAGTTAGGTGGTAGCAACTAAAATGTCCATTGAAGAGACACTTATGCATTACTTTGGGTTAGGGATTTTTAACCATTATGAAAACGTCTTGAGGTATTGTCAGGCGTTTGTTTTAAATGATTTCTGTTCAAAGTTGTTCACAATATTCTGTATAAAGTGTCATTATAAGAGAGGAAAAGTAAATGGAATGTGCTTGTGTTAGTGCCCAGCGCGTAGCCATCCTGACCCAGAAGCTGGAGTTCCTGTCCAAACACCAGTGCATGAGCCACAGGGAGCTGGAGGAGCTGGTGAAGGTGAGATCAGCACCAGGGACAGCTCCTACAGCAAAACTAACACAACATTGAGTTCTATCATCTATTTGCACTTTTACTACAGTGAAACATGACAGATTCAGTCAACTGAGATTTACTTTTACAGCAAATTGTGGTGGCCATGCGCTCCGGAGTGAACCCCACCGGGACCCTCAGCAACAACAGCAGCCTTTGGGACCTGAGCTCTGCATTCTTCTTTGCTGGAACAGTCATCACGACTATTGGTACAACATTTTACATTCAACATATTCTCATATCTGATGGATCTGATGAACTGATTGGATCATCTTCATGTTTTTACCTTTAGGTTTTGGGAACACCTCTCCACACACAGAAGGAGGGAGGATCTTTTGTATTGTGTATGCTTTACTAGGGATTCCGTTATTTGGATTTCTGCTGGCCGGCGTTGGTGATCAGCTTGGGACTGTGTTTGGCAAAGGGATTGCCAGAGTGGAGAAAACGTTTGTTGTAAGTGAGATTTATCGATGTGACATTTAGGATAACTGCGTTTTGGAACAGAGTGTTGGCTTTAAGGTTGAGCTCTGATGCTATTATGTGTGGACTGGGACAGCAGCATTCTTCTCAGTGAATAGTATGAAAAGGATTTTACAGCGCCCCTGGGAGTACTTTGTGTTATAATTATGCATGTGAGAAAGAGGTTTGCCTTTATTGGAACAAAGACAAAGGGATATTTAAATGTGATGTCATGCCCAAACCACACGGGTCCTGACATGGGGATTTACATAAAACTAAAATCTACTATTAACTATACATGGATAAACCATACACACAGCTTATTCCAAATCCAGCAGCTTGCTCTGATTCAGAAAAAATTATATCTCACATTTCCCCTGTATAAAGATATTAATTATCTCCCAATTCAGGCACGGATTGACTTTAAAATGTTTGCTTTTGTATGAAGTCCTTCACAGTCTGCACCAACATACACAATATTGTTCTTCCAGTTGTTGGTGGTGTAAAAATGAAAGTAAAAAGTAGAAATGTTCTTCCTAATGACATCTTTAAACTCTTACTACTTCAGACTTTCTGGATTTGTAATTTGATGTCATGTCTCTGTTTTGTTTTATGAAATATTCTCTTAAAAAGCTTTTAATACTCTATATTTACGCTTTCATAGTGAATTAAATGATTGAATGTATGTGTTTTTCAGCACGGCGACATCAGTCAAACTAAGATCCGAGTCATTTCCACTCTCCTATTCGTTCTGTTCGGCTGCCTGCTGTTTGTGACCCTCCCAGCGGTCATTTTTAAACACATTGAGGGCTGGTCCGCTCTGGAGGCTCTGTACTTTGTGGTTATCACACTAACAACCATTGGATTTGGAGATTTTGTGGCAGGTAAACAACGCCTGATGGGTCAATTATAGTCGTTATTTCTGTAGCATTTATTCATTAAAGCTTTTATGCGCATACAGGCGGCTCTGATGTTCCGTATTTGGACTATTATAAACCTGTAGTATGGTTTTGGATCTTATTTGGATTAGCCTACTTTGCTGCCATTCTCAGCATGATCGGAGACTGGCTCAGAGTCATCTCAAAGAAGACCAAAGAAGAGGTATGGCCACTCCCTTCTTCACACTTCTATTTTCTGGGCAAAAGCTGAAAATAATGTGTTTATGTGACTATTTTCCTTATTGAATTTGAATATAAGTGCTTTTAAACTGAATTACAGTGAGGTCCCAAATAGATGGGAAAAAATGTATATGCTGTGTGCAAAAATATGTCAACATTATTCAACGTTAACGTGATTTTAATGTAGAATATTTGTTTTTGTTGGTTCAAAAAGTATATGAACACAAGCTAGTTAAATCAATAAATACTAAAGTACACTATGGTTGCTTGTCCTCCAGGTCGGTGAGATCCGGGCTCAGGCAGCCGAGTGGACAGCTTCAGTTTCAGCAGAGTTTAAGGAGACACGCAGAAGAATGAGCGTGGAGCTTTATGACAAATTCCAGAGAGCCGCGTCAATCAAGCGCAAACTGTCCACAGACTTTGCATTCAGCCCGACCCCTGACCTCTCCATGCCCAAACGAGCAGGGTCGGTCAACTTCAACGACGAGCTGGAGAGAAAGGATGTGGTTTTCCAGGGACTGAACTGTTCTGTAATGAGGAATCACCTGCTGATGAACGGACTGGACCCAGAAGACTCCTCTCTGTCATAGAAAACCACTATAGTCCCATTTCCACCAGCCCTGCTTGGCGCCACCCCGATTGGGAGCATTTCCACCAGACTTGTTTAACCGGTATGAGGAACTTTTTTACCGCAGCCAGGTAGAGAAGAGTCCGGAGTCTCACTCACTCAGCTGTTTGAACAATATTTGATGGGACTATGGGAATAGTAGATGGGTCAAATAGGGCTGGTGGAAGCTGGGTTTTTGTACACGCCAAACCTGAAAACAGCCACGTTTATAAAGCTCTTTCTACTCTATTTTGTCTGACATAGTGGAGAAAGTGCACATCTTCTGGGAAAGTGAGCTTGTGTGAGCGCTGCCGACAGTAGTGACTTGTAAACAGAGCGCGCACGAGGAGAACTGGGCTCGTGCACGTCTCTTGCACACAATTTGGTAGACGTTCCCTATTTTTTCATAAGGTGGAGAGAGCAATTCTTTCCCAAAATTTTGGAAAATCCTATCATATATATTTAAACTGTAATAATAGGTAATTCACCATAATAAAACACTCAAGTAAACCATGTAGGCCTTCATTACGTGTATGATCAATGGCAAGATTCACTAAAGCCAAAATGAGTGTGCCTTGAAATTGTGTGATATTAACTATACTGAGGTTGTGCCAAAGGTTTGTATTGCGACTTGAAAGTAATGCAAAAGAGCCGTCTGAATAATACTGTTATTAACTGTTGTTGTTAGTATCCAAATAAAGAAGGCCTTTTGTTCTGGCCTTAATAGATTGACAAGGATCTATGCATGTGCGGTTTACACACTTTGCACTTTCTGTTGAGTTGTTTTCGTGACCTCCTGCCCAGGGCTTAAGCAGAACAGGTGCGGTGAAAGAAACACATTCATTTTGATTGTGTTTGCTTTAATACGCGTTTTATTTTACATTAACTTTTATATGTAATGACTGTTGTGTAGCCTATTTTTGTACTGTAAGTTTGTGTTTGCAAAGAATTTATAATAAACCTTTATAACAACTATTTAAATTTAGTTTGATTTGTGATATGCTGCTCCTCATCCCGCTCATGGGGCACGATCAAAAGATCCCCAAATTAGGATTTTTAAATCAATCAGACCAAATGTACTCATCTTCTACTCTGAGTCCATTTCATGGGAGAAAAATGTGTCCAAATTATATTTCCCATCACAAATCAATGTTGCTCAGAAGGTCAGAAGATTTGGGATGGCTATAGATTGGTCCATATCATCCCAATTCCTCTTATCAACCAACATGCCAGACTATTTTATTGACTTATTTTGTTACAATATTTATTCTTAAAATAAATATTGGGAAATAATACAACAGCTCAGTAGATATAGTATGTCAACAAAATGCATCCCTGATCAAAGAGGCTAAGCAGTGTGGGGAGAAATTAAAACATAGATGTGTGGGATCTCTGGCAACATCAGATGCTACGGTGGGGTGGCTGAGGTTGAACTGTGGTTGTGTCTGTAGGCAAGGCACTTCACCCACACGACCGGAGTTTGGCGTTGGTCGAAGGGGCCAATGATTAATAGAAGTAACTGGTTCCCGTGGACCCACTAGCTTCATGAGAAGAACAATGGCGGTGGAGTTGAAATGGCTTTGAGCTGAACTGTAATCTCCTGGGGGCAGATATAGGTGCCGTCTATCACCCACGCAGTTCACAGCCTCAGCCTCTGGTGGGGGAGTCTGATGTGCCAGCAGGGCTCATGATGCGGAATCTACTTATGAAAACAGGAAGTACAGGCCAGAATCAGCACTGTTACAGTTTATGGGCTTCAAAAGTTCCATTACAGTCATATGGCTTTTTGGCCAAAGTAACAATAACAGATATGTATAAACTTCAAATTATGCAATTCTTGACACAAGTCACTCTAAGTCACTGCATTAAGAGTGAAAAAACCTGCACTACTATTGACACTGTTTCTTGATTGCCACTTTTATTGTACACGATATATCCTGCATTTAACATGTTTGCACATTTCTTTCTTTTTGCACAATCTTGAGGGATTCTATCCATGCCAGATTTCTCCTGTGTGAGATCAATGAAGTATATCTTATCTGTCTCCACTAGAGTGACTACCTGACATTAAATTAAATTAAAGCTGAAAAAAATACTAAATGTACTAATATCCACCTAACTAGTTCTAAACTCTTACAACTATCACAACTCTTACAACTTACAAGTGCTCACGTACATCTATTTTTTGCCTCTGACAGATCAAAGCATCAAATAGTGACTCGGATCAATTTCTTACAAGGCCGCAAAAAGTATAATACAGAATAAGACTGCATGTTGGGGTCAGTAATGTCCAATTTACTTTTGCAAGACTTACAAAACATTTACAAAGAAAGTAATTTAGGTATCCCAGCTTTGCTACTTTGAGGGGAGACCCGGCGTCACCACTGGACACTTCAATCCTCCACATTGTTACAGTGGTGCCAAGGTGGATTTTTGTGGTTTCACTGTGAAAATAATGTACTTTTATTATCACTGCAGTTCTTTAAGATCTTTAGGGTGCCAGTATCTAAATCTTTCTACTTTTTTTCTCCTGGTTGAGGTGCCCTTCTCACAGTGCAGTTGGTTCCACTGCCCATCCCAGGGGAGACTTCCTGCAGCGTGGGCCACAGAGCTTACACAGTGTGATGAATAATGGCTCAAATCATGCATACAGGGGATTGTCCGCCTGTGCGTGCCTCAGGGCCACCCGCTCTCGTCCACAGCCAGTGTCCACAGAGCTCAGTCAGTTGGTTCTGGCACCACAGCTTCCGTCCCAGAGGTTTGTCACCTCCTCTGTTCCCATATCCCAGGATGCACTGTTCTGATCACCATTTGCATTGATTACGTCTCTTCTGATTGTGCTCCTGGGGTCAAAGGGTGAGCACAATGACATAAAACTGGACTTCAATCCACCAAATTCTTGCATAACAGAAATCAATATATTGATCTAAAAACGGATTTGCTAAAAGTGTATCAGGAAACGTCTGCGTAGTGTCTAAATACACAGATGCATTTGCTCATACACTGGTTTCTACAATCGTCTATTTCTATTTTGCTCATTAGGAATCCGAGGTGTCAGTAGTGGTCAGCTGCAAACATTATGTTGATTCATTAGCGAATAAGAAGTGGTTATCACAACCATTGATTTTACCCACTGCACCAGGCTGTATGCAGGTGTGGGGGAAACATAATTGCGTTAACTAGGATGAATTTCAAAACCAGAATAAACCAAAACTGTCCTGTTTGTCAGAAACAAATTACTTGATTCTAAAGCAACTTAAAGAGCGACTAAACACCAAATCAACTTTTTTCAACTCATCTATGCAGTTTATATGTTTATTGTAGTGCTCTCTACATATCCTGGTCATTTTTTTGACATTTTAGTTCAAATTAGATAAAATATCACTTTTGAGCCAAAAAACGTCTGTGTGGTGCCCTCTCAATCTTTTTGGTGGTACTACATTTGAATTTGGTTCTGGCCTCTCCATTGACTCTGAAGTTCTCTATGACATCAGTTGTTTTGTGTGACGTCAGTCTGTCAGAGCCAATGATATAAACCCATTCAACTCTCACACACGCCCCAGCTGCAGTTTGGAGTATTCTGGCGCCATCTAGTGGATTAAAATTAAATTACATGAGTCATTCTGAGATTATTGAGTGTGATTAGGTTCAGGTGTGTAGCTTTACAATTATCTAAGTGTGTAAACAAGGGTGGAATGAGACTTTCTGGTCTGTAAACTATTGCTTTAAGCAGCAATGACAACTGTCTGTTTTTTTTAGTGAGACAACTGAGCTGTCAATCACAGCCCAGACCACGCCCAACTCTAAGCCCCCCTTCTTGTCCCTTGGTCCTCCAGGCAACGCCCTTTTCAGAGAACATTTTCAAATCTTCATGTGGGCGGAGTAAGGCTGGGCACAGGTGTTTAGTCGCTCTTTAAGAAGTCTGATGTAACCAATCAATAGCCGTACACAGTTTGAGGAAGAAATAAACTTTACTAAAATGTTCCATGTAGCCGTGTCTAGATTGACAAAACTGATTAGGTATTTAAAAACAAATATAAAAGAATATGCATTTATTAGCACAGTCTACACCTGTATATAGCTGCCATAAGCATTTAAGTCACATGCTGAAGAAGCATAGTCTCATATCATCTATCTACACAGAATACTATGTACAACAACAAAAACAAGTATGTGACGTAAACTGTACTTTAGAGTGATTAGGTTATACATGAGGATTCATCTAAAAGAATAGTGCACATGCTTTGAATGTTAAAAAAGTATTTAAGAGTGTGGCTTTAACTTGAGTGTAAAACAAATCTACTGAACATGACAGTTTTCTCCTTGTGCCTGGGTGTTCTCTGTAGATGTCTGCTCTTTTGCACTTTGAGAACGACGTTTCCTGTTTGAGGTGACGTCAGCGGAGGGACTCTGCAGATGAAGAGGCTCCAACACCTGTGAACAAAATGTACAATCAGTAAATTAACAATTACTCCAACCACTAAATCTCACAGCACTTCTGAGCCTCACACTACATGTATCTACAATAGTAACCTAAATTTATAAAAGAAGTTTCTAATGGAGAGGAATGAGATGTTAATGTTTCATTAGTTTTAGTCATGTAGAGTGTGACGTTTAATGAGCTGCCTGTTTGCCAGTTAAAGTTAAATAAAGGTGAAACACTAAACCCATTTCACCATCACCTGCTTTCTGCCGCCTCCTCAGGAAATGTATCTGAAAAGTATGGCCCTCGAGTTGCTCTGCTTTGAAGAGCTCACCTTGTCAGGAGATGTGGAGCTCTGTTTTGACAGACGAGGACTACAGCGCCGCACTGTGGTTCTCCGAACAATGAAAGGACTGGCTTCTCCCAGAGGAATGTCTGCAAACCCTACACAAAACAAAATAGTTAATGCACATCACTATACTAATTACATGGAAGACAGATTATGATTAATATGCTGAGGCTAACAAATTAAGTAGATAATCCAGTTTTATTTACATTGTATATGGTAATCCAGCTCAATATCGTGCATTTTGTACCAATGGTAACTGGTCCAGAAATTGTATCAATTGCGTAAAAAATGAGGCTCAATGATCATTTCTGCAGCTTCATTTGTATTTAAACTTTAACCAAACATATTTGACCAAATGACACAGAAGTATTATTTAATTTAAAAAATATTATAAATATATTTAAAGCAGGCACAACCACCATAATAGTTTGACAACTAGACGCATTCCCATTGGTTAAATCAGTGTTTTTCAACCTTTTTTGAGCCAAGGCACACTTTTTTCATTGAAAAAATCTTGCGGCACACCTCCAGGAGAAAATGTAAAAATGTATACAGTACTAATGTAAAAATATATACTGTACATACTCTGTGTGATATATAAAGTATATCTTATCTTATCTTATAATGTATACAGTATACTCTGTAGCCTATATTCACAATATACAGTTATTCTCATCAAAATGCTTAAGTCCAGGCCTTGACATTAAGCTTTATTTAATATTTCTCGATACAATTAACAAGAGTTTGGGAATAAAGTGGCACTAACTGTGTGGAAAAAAACTAAGAAAATCCACTCTCTGCCCAAATAGTCAAATAATAACTCACACAAAGAACATGCATTGTTAGTGCATGGGAAAAATTTAGGTATCCGAGCTTTAAATTCAGGAGTTTTGGATGAGGGACACGGGAGGTCCTGAACGCGAGTCCATGGTTCTGTCCGGTCCGCATGTCTGTGGTTCTGTCCACTCGACTATGGTCTGCGCTCGGTATAGGGATGTAAATCGGCGACCGGTTAACCGGTGGTTGACCGTCACAGCGTTAACCGGTCGAAGCTGTCGGTTAAAAAAGAGAAAAAGGGGAGAGGGGAGGTCTCTTAATAACGCTTTTTCAAGCCCTATTTGCACGGTGTGACGAGCGGCTCTGTCTCTAGCTGTGTGCGCCCATGTATTATAAACTCCGGGACGACTCTCACGCCGCACGAGCCACATATGCACACACGCACGCACGCGCACACACACACACACACACACACACTTTCCCCCTCTCCATACGTAACATCCACACGCATCATCTCTCCCCTCTGTTACCGCCAAAGTTGCACACTGGCGCGGGTCAGAACTACATTGGAGCTTACATTTACACACACACATATACATACACACACACATACATACACACACACCGGTCTGTCGCGCTCCTCTGTGTCACGGAGCCCAAAGGATTCGCGCAAATACGCAGCTCCAGTCAAACCATATGGACCATGTTTGTGTTTATGGTCCTCGGGATCAGCTCCACACACATCACTTGTATTTAAACTTTTGTGAAGACCTGTGAGACGCGGCTCGTCACTCGCTGCTCTGACCATGTGAACGAGCCGTCGTTTGCTGCTAGAAAGTTTTGGTATTAACCCGCAGCACAGCAGAATGGGAAGATTAAAAAAGCAGTTCTCTGTGCGCAAAGGTGCCGGAGCTGTTGCGGGTTTGGGCGCCGCTGTCTCAGCTCTGATCCAGTAGAACGCAGAGCTGCTCTTATGAAAAGTACGCGGCTCGAAATGGCTGTTATTTCAAAGAACGTGGACTATTTTAAACTACGCGGTTAACCGGTTTCAACCGGTTAATGAGGCTCGGTGGTCGGTCATGAAAATTCATAGTTTTTTACATCCCTAGCTCGGTACCCAGTTCAGAAGTGCGTTCGCGAGAGCTGTTGTACAAAAATTGTACATTTCATAGTTAAACCACTACAACGCGGCCACAGCTGCCCCGGGGCAGAGCGGAGGATGTTAATCCTGTTCAGAAACGGCATAATTCATTTTCAAAAACGTCTCTATCACTTTCACTTCTCACTCGCCACAAAGCTCTTGACTCGCTCCCTCCCACATTTGTTGGTCGCATCCAATTTTACCTTTCTCGCCACAATGCTGACCTGTTACAGCCAGTGGTCGCATCCAATTTTTCAGTTTCAAAGTACTTAGCTATCTGCTGCCATCTACTGATTTGAAAAAGTATTACATGGTTACTCCACAGTTCAAAACAAGTCACCGCTCGTCAACAGCGAATGCAGTTATTTTTAGACAAAGTAGACGAATTTCTCACGGCACACCAGACAATATCATACGGCACACAGTGGTTGAAAAACACTGGGTTAAATCAAGGATTTACATTCATTGGGGTCCAATCAGGAAGCGGTGGGAGTGGGTCTAAAAGTCTCATCTTAAAATATTTTAAAGTAACTGAAAGTTATGTACCCCAGCTTTGAAGTGGCTCAAACCATAACAAATTTAAACCTATGTAATATTTCCATTCAACTAATTTTTACTTTTCACATGGGGATTGCAAGTGTCTTTGTTTAAAAAAAAAAAAAGCTTGCTTTAAGGTCTATCAAGTATGTACCTCTCTGCACCAACTCTGGCAGTCCCTCAGGCCTGAATTCTTCGTCGTCTTGTTGGGCCTTGGGCTTTGGCGTGGTGACAGCAGTAGCTCTGAGTTTCTTGGTCAGGTTGTGCAGAGCTTCTTGAGCAGTGTCTTTGTTGGTGACATCACAGTGGCCTCTCTTCCCTCGCCCCGGAGGAGAGCGCAGAGGCGAGGATGGGATGTTCTCAGAGTTTTCAGTGGAGTGGAGTTTGGAGGCGGACTTCCTGCTTGAGCGGCGGACACCATCTGCATTATGGGTCTGTTTGTTGGTGATCTGCTCCAGACGAGTGGTCAGAACATCGTTTGCCTCTTCCAGCTTGTGCACTTGAATCATCAGAGTGCAATACTTGTCCATGCTCTCATCGGCCTCTTGGCTTTTCTCCTCCACAACAATATTCAGCTGATTTAGCTCAATCTTGGTCTCCTCCAACTCTTGCTTTGTTGTGTCTAGTTCCTTCTTCGTGAGATCTAGTTCTTTCTTCACTCCGTCCAGTGTTTCATTGCATTGTTGAGCCTCGCTGGTCTTCAGTTGGAGGGAAGCTTTCAGACTTTGCACTAGTTTCTCACTTTCCTCTGCTTCCATCTTGAGTTCTCTCACCTCGTCACTGACATTCTCACGTTCTAAAAGGCATTCAGAGTTAGATGTATAGTTTATAATATACCTGGAAGAAAAGAGAACACCCACCTTCATTTTTCAATATGACTTGCTTCTCCTCTTCCAGCTGTTTACAGGTTTTCATCAAAAGGTTGATCTTGCTTAGAGCAGAGTCTTTATCTTTAGAGAGACGCTCAGCCCGGGAAGTCAACTCTAACACCTGGAAGGAATCAGAATGAATAACTTTTTGTTCCTTGCATGTGTGTATGTGCATATTATATATATATATATAAATTTAGATGTTAACCGTTTAAAACTTCAGGTGTAAAACAGAAAAAACGTTACCTGATTATTTAGTTCCGAGATAGACAATTTGCTTGTTTCCAACTCCTTTTCCATTGAGGACGCTGCAGTCTGAAGCAGCTCCTTTTCAGATTCCAGTTTTTCTTTACACTCCTCAACTCTTTTCTTCTCTTCCTCAAGTGAACGCATTGTGATATTCAGCTCATCTTTCTCTTCCTTCAACAAACTATTCATAGACTGGCACTGCTTTAACTCTGCCCCGAGGCCCTCTTTCTCCAAATGTAGTTTTGTGTTATCTTGTTGCAACAAAGACAAAGAATGTTCCAAATAACTCTTGTCCTTTTCCATCAAATCAAATTTGGACTGAACCTCTGTATTTTCTTGTTTCTCAAACTTCGTGACGGTGGACTTCAGCTCATCCCGCTCTTGTGTGACTAAAACCAGAGCTGATTCGAGTTGCTCTTTTTCTTCTTGCACTTGTCGGTTTTGTTCTTCAATTTGCTCTTTGTCTGCAGCGAGAGCAGAGATGGACTTTTCTAATGTCTTCCTCTGGCCTTCTTCCTGATTCCTGATCACTTCCAAATCGACACGCTCCTTTTCCACAACTGCAATGGTGGCTTTAAGTTCTTCCATTTCTTTTTCTAAAACCCCAATGCGACAGTTTAGGCTCTGCTTCTCAGAGTTCAAGCGCTCTTCCTCAGTCTGAAGTCTTTGATTTTCGATTTGTGACTCATTTAAAGAACAGCTCAAGTGTTCCTTCTCATTTTTACACTCCACCAGAACAGATTGCATTTGATTTCTCTCTGCCTCTAGTTCTGTACGCTCTTGTTCCAGGGAAAGCATCTTCTTGTGCAAGTCTTCCAGCTGGGTTTGGACGTCACGCATTTCTTTGGTCTGCTTCTCAGTGGCTTCCTCCATTGCTTTCTCCAACTGTTGCACTTCTTGTTGTCGGTCCATTTGAACTCGCTCCAGCTCTTCCTTAGCCGCTTTCAGGGCTTCAATTTCTTCTTTTTTCATTGAGAGTTCTAGTTCCATGCTTTCTTTCTCTAATTTGAGATGATCCAGTTCAGTAGAAAGCTCTTTCAGTTTTTCACTCAGCTCCCTTTTCTCTTCCTCCACCTAAAAACATAAAAAATAAAATCATGATTAAATGTTTCTAAATATTTAATAATGATAACGCATTGGATTTATATGGTGACGTTAGGGGTCTGATAAGGAGACTGATAACCAATATATAGGTATTAACATTTAACTATATTTTGATCATACACATTGGTGGTAAGCTACTACTTTGGGGCAGGTCCTGCACCACCCATTCCCCTACCAACCCACTAGCGGTGGGAACCTCAGGGTACCTCGCCATACAATACGCAATACAAAGCTCACGAGAACAATGAATCACATTATGACGATTATTGGTCAGAAATATACCATATGCCAATTTATGGAATAAATAAAAAGAAAAATGTTAAGTGAAAAAATACACTTTATTTCATGATAAATGGAATGGAGATGCGTAATGTAGTCATATATGAAGTATTGATACTAATAAAAAAATGAGAAAAAAAAAAAAAAAAATCAAAATTGATACTTGGAAAATGCATATCGATAAATCGCGGGAGAAAGTATCACGATATATCATTTTATCGATATATCGTCACACTCCTACAACCCACCATGCCTCCCTCCCTACTGCCAGATACATTAATTAAATGTATGATATAGCATATTGTGTCCTGTCAGAAGATATATATAGAAATCTTACCTTTAACTGTTCCTCTTCCAGTTCAGCTTTTACACTTTCCGCCTGCATTACAGAGATTCCATGTGACCAAGATTGTTGATGTGCAAAGCTATTTTCCAATAAAAAATTGCTTGTACCTGAACCACGGCCTCTTCAAGACTCTGCTCAATATCATCCTTCTCCCTCTCAAGGCCATCGATGCGATCTTGAAGTGCGTCAGCTTTCCTTTGTGCAGCTGAAAACAGACCAACGTCACAGGCGTTCCAATGTTTTTCTGAGGTGGATCAACTCAAATATAATGTCACCTTTAAGTAGTTCGCCCATCTTTTTTTTCTTGCGCTCATCCGCCTCAATGCGCACCTGCAGCTTCTCAATGCCGGTCCTCATCTGCTGCACTTCGTCTTGTGTGGTGTTCAGTCGAGACGCGATCTCTCCTTTTTCCAAGAGCGAAGATTCCAGAGAGTGCGTCAAACGAGTCACTTCAGCCTCAAGGGACTGTTTGGACACAGGCATGAGTACCACAGCAAATCAATGCATGGGAATGACCAGTTAGGGATATATCACCTGGATTTTGGAGGCTAAGGACTCGCTGTTGTTGATATCAGAGGTGTGGTCTTCATGTATTTTTTCCAATTGATCGATGAGATCCTCTTTTTCTCCACTCTGCTTATATAGGGTCTGTTCTAAAGTTTTGACCTGCTCCAACAGCTAATAACAAAAAAATTGAGAATAGTTAGAAAAGGAGAACTCACAACTATAAACTCACTACTTCACAAAATTATTACCTGTTCCCTTTCCACATTTATTTTCTCCATGCTGCTTTGCAGGACGTCATACTCTCGCTTCCTCGTTCTGATGTCATCCTCCAGGATTGATAGCAACTCTCTCGTGTCGGAATTGCTCTTTTCCAAGCCCAGAACTTGTTCCTTGCGCTGAGACAGAGACCGGCTCAAATCATCTCGCTCCTCTGAGCAGGAGACGAGCTCTGACCGAAGCTGTGTTGTCTGCAAAAATAGTCAACTGTCAAAACACATCATTATCTCAACTCTAAAAAGCCTCTGGAGCCATAACTCCAGAAAAGCTAGGGGATGCATAATAAATGCGTAAATAGACACTTCTGGTATTCTCAATCAAGGAACAGTGTTGTAATATTCTATAACACAATATAGTCTTCTGAATCACTGCCCTCTATTTCAAAATATTAGGAATATTCTACATACAGGTCCTAAAAACGTCATAGATTTGTAAAAAAAAAAAAAAAAAAATAACACAAGAGATGCCACAGACCCTGGAGTGTGACTTTACAGCTCTACAAAGTGAAGTACCTCTGTCACGAGTCTCTCCACGCTGCTCTCCATCCCAGAACACGCCCGTCTTTGAGCATCAATCTCCTGTCTCAGTTTGGTGCCCTCCTCCTGCAGCGTCTCCAGTTCAACTTCCATCCCCAGAATGTGCTGCTCTAAGTTGGCCTTCTCTGAGCGCACCCGTTTCAATTCACTCTCCTGCTGGAGGAACTTCTCATCCCATCCACCTTAAATAATTGACGTTTCAGTTATTACACTGTACTAGACACCAAGAAGCCAATGTGTACAGAAGTACCTTTGGCCATCTCAAGTCCTTCAAACATCTCCATGACATCAGCCAGCTGACATTTAGCGGTTTGGAGTTGCAGGGTCAAAGACTCATTGTCCTCCGTCAGTTTTCCAATCTAAATAATAGCAACAATTTTGAGCATTCGAACAAGGTCTCACATGTGACCCAGTGTAACTGTTTATCTACCTGGTTAACAAAGCCTCGGTTTTCTTTCGAGACGACATTCAGTTTATTTACAGCCTCGTGAGCTTTTCTCTCCATGTCGGCCATTTTCTGCTCCATGTTTTGTACGTATGTTCCCATTTCAGCACTCATCTCTTTTCTGAGTTCGAGGTCAGCATTCAATAAATCAATTTCACAGTGGAGGGTCTGAAGTTTGTCATCTTCTCCATTCAAGTTGTCATTAGGCATTTCTGTTTGTTGTACAATTTTTCCATTATAAAAATGTGACATGTAATGAAGCATGAGAATGTGGTTACATTTATTACCAGTGGACTTCATGTCTTCATGAAGAAGATGCAATTCCATTGTGACTTTAGGGGAGACATCATCATCTTTTGGACACTACAACAAAAACATAACATTTACAAACGAGAACAAGTAAAAACAAAATTTTACAAAATAAAGTAATAAAAACATAGATGCTTATTATGTGACCTTACCTGTTCTTCGGTGACCCTTTCACTGTCTCTTCCTGTTTGCATGCACTCTTGTGGAATAACATCCATTTTATCACTGGAGAAAATGTTTATATTTAACATCTTGAATGCAGCACAGGAAAATCCAAAACAACCATCACTAAAACTCACCTGATATTCAATTTGGGGACATCTGCACCATCACCCATGGCCTCCTCCATGTGCTGACCACACAATGGCATTTCTTTATTAAAAAAAACAGAGGGACATTTTGGGAAAGTGATTCAAGCACACGGGTAAAGAACACTGCAATTATCATATAGTATTTCAGTACCCTCGGTGCGGCTACACGCCTTGGGCAGACTGCCACTGCTCTGAGGTTCAGAAAGCTGCAGGATTAAATCATGCTGTTGCTTCACTTGTTCTTGCAGCAGGTTGTACTTCTTTTTAAAGTCGGCTAACTCAATCTGTAAACCAGCAAGTTTCTGATGAACCTCCTGTTCCACCTTCAAAACGTTCTCTCTGTAAAATTGAAACAAAAGTACTCAGCGAAAGACGAGGATCTGAGAACAGCATTGAAAGAAGTGAATTGATCATACTTTTCTTTGAGGTCTTCATTCTGTCTGCTGCTTTTATCCAATTCCTCTTGCAGAGTTTCCACTGCAGGTTGTCCAGATGCAGGAGACTGTTCCAAAGACCTAATATCAAGATGTGGATCTTCCTTGTGCAACTCAATCTCTGAAATCACTTCATTTACTTCAGCTTCAATATGGCCTAACTGTTCCACTTTATTCTGAAGTTGTTGGTTTTCTTGTGTCAGAAGATCAATGCGTTCAGTCATTTCTTTAACATCCGTCTGTAACTTGATATTTTCTTCTCTAGTCTGGTCAAGCTCTTTCTGCAGGTCACACACCGCTTCCTCCAGTTGAGTTTTCTCTCCGCTTCTTTCTTCTAGCTGTTCCTCAAAGTTCTTCTGTAAATGAGTCAGTTGTGCACAGAGTTGATCTTTGTTAAGAGTTAACTCCTCGTTCTGTTCCTTCACTTTAGACATTTCATTGAGGACCTTCTCAATCGCATTCTGAAACTCTGCTTCCAAACTATTTTTTTCAGAAGACAATTCAGTTATTGTAACCTCAAGTTGACGTAACTGTTCTTCTCTGTCTTGCAGTTGTCTACTATTCTCTTCGGTTAAGCAGTTTATAGAGTTTTTAAGCTCTTTATTTTCAAACTCCATTAAAATTAGGTCATTTTGTAGGTTGTTTTTCTCAGTGACTAAGAGGTCTCTTTGGTCAATTGTCTGTTTGAATTTAGTGTCTAGGATGTCATGTTCTACTTTCATGAGGTCAAGTGCAGTTTGCAGTCCAGCTACAGCCTCTTCCAGTTCTTTCCGCTGAGAGGCTTCCTCCTCCAGTCTTGTGATTTCACAGCTCCGGTCCATCAGCTCCTCTCTCGCAGTGACGTACTGGGCCTCAAGCGAAGAGTTTTGAGCCTGAATTTCTTCCAGCTGCGTTTCCAATTCAGACACCTGCAAACAGAAGTATTTTATTTGACAATTCAACAATGTTCATGTGCTTTAAGATGATCACCTGTAATTTGGTGCCCTCCAGCCTGGCCTCCATCTCAGACATGTTGGAGTTGCTGTTAGCGAGCTGAGCTTCCAGAGACTCTATGGTCCCCTTCAGCTCCTCAGTCTGATTGTCAATAGAAGTCATCACAGTCTCATTGTCCTCCAGGTCCATTTGGAGCATCTCCAGTTGAACCTAGAACAATAATTCATCATTTTAGCTGTCAGTAATGAATATACAAAACACTTTTGAAACTAACAAAGGGCAAACCTTAATTTTGTTCATGGCCTCCACCTTCTCCTTGAGGAGTTCTGCAGATTTACCCTGTTCTGCTTCGGCCTTCTTCAGCTTTTCATTCAGAGTTGCTATTACCGAGTCCCGCTCTTGTAGACCACTAGAAGCAGCAGATATTGTCGCCTTCATAGTCTTGATTTCTTCCCGACGAGATCTTAACTCTGTCTTCGTTGCAACTAAATTTTTCTTAACTTCTTCAACCTGATCCTGAAGTCGTCGTTTTTCAGTGAGGAAATGTTCAATCTCCGAAGCATGATTCTCAGATTGAGTTTTAACCTTTTCTGTGAGGTCTTTGATACTGAGCTCCAAAGTAGTTATCAGAAGATTCTTCTCCACAAGAGTATTTTCTAAGTTAGATTTGATTTCAGTAACAGAGGAGTGGTTTCTCTCGAGGGCTTCAAGATTACATTTTACTTCAGAGTAAGCCAGGGTGACCCCCTGCAGCTCATCCTCTAAACCAGAAAGTCTGTCGGCAGCATTCTTTCCTTCAGAAACCTTTCCCTCTAACAAAGAAATCTCCTCATGAAGACCATTTATCTTCTCAGCTGTTGCCTTATTGAAGATCTTTCACAAAAGAGGGTATACGTTACCAAGTTGTATAGAGAAAATGTAAATATACTGAAGGAGGACCTTACCTCTTTTTCTTGCTTCAGTTCTTGAATTGAATTCTCAAGGGCAACTTTTTGTTCCTCCAAAGACACAATGTGATCAGCTGTCTCTTTGTGGCATTTTTTCATTTCTTCAGAGTGACATTTTAAATCATTTAACTCTTGTTTAATTTGCTCGTATTCATCACTTTTCTCCTTCAGCGCCTTCTTATGTTGTTCAACCCCCTCAGTCAGGGTTTCAATTTTCTTCTGCCAATCTTCTCCCAATTGCTCCTGAACCTTCATCAACTGATCCATGGAGGAGATCTGCAACAGTTATGTTATTTTATTACCCATGCTGTTTAAATTTAACAATTTAAATTTAAATTGAACATTTAAAGAGCTGAAACATACTCTATTTTGAGTCAGGAGGAGGTCCTGTTGGGCTTCTTGAAGAGATAGTTTCAGTTCTTCAATCTCTGCTTCCTTTGACAGTACTCTTTCCTCACAGTGCTTCAAAAGTGATGCTTTTTCTTCAGCCAACCTGTTGAACATGAAAAGATGATTTCTACACCAATAATGCACAATCTCGATCTGGGGTGTACAAACGTTTTAGAAAGAGGGCCACTTTAGTTTTAGAAGTTCTAATCTTTACCACTTGGCTTTACATGTCTATATTGGTAGAGCTGAAGTTGGCTGGATGACGGTGTGAACTTGTGTTTATGAGACAAAGAACTACTTCAAGATAGCAAGGCAGCCAGAGACCTTAGTTTGGACATGCCTAATCTAGATCAATAGTGTCTAGAGGGTTTAGTAGAATAATCGCTCTACCTCACTTCCTGCTCCTCCTGCTGAGTTGTAGCCACACTGAGGCTGTCTCTGAGTTGGTTGATCTCTGCCTGACCGAGCTCCAGCAGCTGATCCTTGGAGCTGAGCAGGTCGCCGTTTACCTGCTGCTCTTCCAGGAGCCTTCTTTCAGCCTGTTCTGCTCGGGCCACTTCTCGCTGTAGACGCATCTGAATATCTTTTACCTAATCACAAATTGTAACGTTATTGTTAAGACAGCATTATGTAAAGTGCATCTCTTACTTTAAGCCTCTGAAAACACCACTTACTTGATCCTCAAGCTGCACCACTTGTAGACGGACATTATCCAAGTCTTTAGAGTGTTTGAGTTCGACCTCTGAGAGGTTTGACTGGAGTTTTTGGTACTGATGCTCTCTCTCCTCTAGTTCTGTGCACTTATTCAGGAGATCTCCTTTCAGAGTGTCTATCTGAGCAGACAAACCGCTGTGCTTCTCCTCTGCTGAAGTCAGCTGCCTCTATTTAAGAAAAGATCCATTTGAGAACAGTGGCAGGCATAAAAATCATGAATAATACAATTCAGAAGGTGTCTTACTTTTAATTCTGCGTTTGTTTCATTCAGCATGTTGACACTGATTTCAGAGCTGCTCAGTTTTTCCTTGAGTTCGTTTTGAACCGCCTCAGTGTCATTGACAAGAGTTTCCTTCTCGGTTTTCCACTGCAGAAGAGCTTCATGAGCCTGTTTAACTTCTGCATTCTCATTTTTAGCAGAAACCAGGCAGGATTTCAGCTCTTCACACTCTTTTGTCAAGACAATAACTTTGTTGGCGACTTGCTCAAACTCTTGTCTCTGCTTCAATAGATCACTTTGAGACCTACAATTTAAAATAACAAGTGAAATTGAATTTTGAGTAATATTTGTAGTATGTGTAATAAAGAATAATTTACTTGGAGTTTGTGGTCTCTGCTTCAGACAGTATCCTTTTCATGTTTTCTAAATCCCGAGTCTGTTGTTCGACTTTAGACTGAAGTCTTTTAACTTCATCAGCTTGACTCTCAGATTTTGCTGGAGTGAGAAGACAGCTAAAGTAGGACCATTTCACAGAAGCATTTTTCTCACACAAAGTTACTTTACGTTACCTCTGAGGTCATCGAGTAAACCCTGAGAGCGCTTCTGGGTTTGGTCCAAGTTCTTCTTCTCGTCTTCTAGTTGACCTACACGCTTACTGCTCTGATCCTGCTGCACTGATAAATAGTTTTTCTCTCTTTGGAGCTCCTAAGAAAAGCAAAAGACAAAATAAAACCCAACCGAACTTCTCAACCAAAAACAAAAAAAAACCTCACCTCAAATTTCTTGAACATATCTTGTTCTTTGCTCTGGCAGGCCTGGAGACTCTGCTCAGACCTCAATAATTTCTGTTTGTGCTCCTCAACTTCCTTTTCCAATTGTTTCTTTTGTAAATTCAACTGTAACAAAGAAGATCGAGTTTATATTTAAGATACAGACAAACATGTAAGGCAGTGACCTGGCCGTTACCTTCTCCATGTCAGATTGGACTACATTATAGTCCTTCTTAGATTGTTGAATTTCTTGAGTTAGCTTTGTCTGAGTTTGATTCATCTGTCGTTCCAAAGCCTGGTGAGTGTTCTGCAACTGGGAAAGCTCCTTCGCCAAAGTAATTTCACAATGGTCAGTATTGTTGATTCTAATAGTACACAATGTTATCATGTATTAATAATAGGAGTAATGCCATATACATGTTTTTTGAAACCTCTCAAAAGTACCAAACTGCTGTGTTGGGAGAAAAAAACACTCTTAGCCACAAATGCCCAGTGGCAGACCCACAAAAGTGGCTAGTGCGAAGCCATCTGCCTCCCTTGACAACATTAACACCATGCCAGATTCATAAACTTCTCACCTTCTGGCTTTCTCTTTCCAAATCTTTGAGTTTTTGTTCCAGGGCTCTTTTGCAGCTTTCAGCATTGTGCCTTTGACAGTTCATCTCTTCTGTGACTTGCTTCAGCTTTTGCTCAACTGACGAACACTAAACCACAACAAACAGTGAAGCGTTGAAGTGACCTCTCAATACAAGTGTGCAGATTTGAGCAGCATACCTTGGACTGAAGCTGCTGGTGCTTGTCTGTAGCCTGAGTGAGCTCATGGCTTTTCTTTGCCAAGTCTCTGTCACGTTCAGTCAGATCTTTGCGGACTTGACTCAGCGTCGCCTGCATTTCCTGCAATTTGGACGTCTGGCTCTTAATTTGTTTTTCCTGATTGGCAAAGTTTCTCTCCAGCTCAGACACACGAGAACGGAATTCTGTAAAATAAAATACCGTAATTAAAGAACTTAAGATTGGTAATGCTGCAAGGACAGTAGTGCAGCTCACCTTGATTTTGAGTCTTAAGTTGATCGATGTGTTGAGAAGAACCACTGGGGCTCTGCATTGCTACAGCACAGCTCCGGCGAGGGCTAGGTTTAGTGGGTGTCTGATCGTGGAGCTCCCACAGAGAGGCACCTCTTCTCTTCAGAGGAGTTTCCATTGCATCTTGAATGTGACGGCTGTGGCTCTGCTCTTGTTGTTGCCAGGGGAAGATAGAGGATCCAGCTTGTTGGCGGGCAGCAATATCCTTGTGGCTCACAGAGACTGACGATTGGTTCAACAACTTAAAAGTCAAGACAGAAAAAATGTGGTTGAAGTAGTTTTCCCATATAGAAAATTAACAAAAAACACACCATGCAGCACTTACTTTTATCTGTAAAATCTTCAACTCATTCTCCAGTTTTTTCCGTTCTTGTACTTCCTGGCTGTATTTTTCCTGGAGGTCCTCAAGGCGGTTATCTTTATAATCTGAACAAATGTCAAGATGAGATCTCAAAACAAACAAAATTGATCAAAGGTATACTATGAAGTTGTACCATGGTGCTTGTATGCCTGGACTGGAGCTGGTGTGGCAAAACCTTTCTGCGGGGTGGAGAATGATGGATTATCAGATGAGGCTACAGATGAATTGCCTGCAGGCTGTGAACGGTCAAGATCATTTTTGTACCTAGAGAGAAACACAATTTAAGCAACCAATTTGAGCTGCTAGGCTTAAATAAAGTTTGATGAATATTGACACACTTCTTAAGTTCCTGCTCCAGCCGTTCAATAGTTTTCTTGCACGCATTCAGTTGTCCCTCAAGGTAGTTAACCTAAAAATGTGAAAAAAATTAAGGTCTATGTTAAGGACCAGGAGTCGCAGAACTTTCGCTATAAATTTTAAAAATGCTAACCTGTTGCTCTTTAATTCCAAGGTCATGGACAGCTTTTTGACGAGCTTTCTCTAGAGAGTCACATGATTCAAGTAAAGACTGATTTTCCCTCTTCATTGCAGATATTTCATTACGTTCACTGTCAACCTGCAAAACACACATGATTGTATTTGATGCCTCCCTCCAAAATAATGTTCTTTCTTTAATCATGTTTATTCCAAGTACTAACTTTCTGCTTCTGTTTTTGTAGTGCTGCCTCCAAGGACTCCAGCTGAAACTGTTTTTGGCTGCGCTCCTTCTTCAGCTTGTCCAGTTGTACTTCCATTTCCTGAATCCTTTGTAAGGCTTTCCCTGGAAGGCCATCCTTCCACTCCTCCACCGCCCAACTCATGGTTAACCACCTGTAAATTCCACATCAGACTATAAAGACCCGTTCACATAAAACAATAGTTCATAAACAATGCACAAGTCCAAGATCATTGGTCAATCCGCTCTAAGTATAACCTACATACTTTTGCATATGTAGGTGCATCCAGTAATTTACCTCAGATAATCAGAATATTGGCCCCTGTTATAACTGGGGCCTTGGTATTCATTCACATAACCATTTGGCTTTAGACTAGCTAGTAGCCTAGTTAACAAAACCTTAGTTTTTTTTTTTATCAGCAATGGTTGGTCACTTGGGGTGAAGGTTGTGGGTTAGATCCCCCACGAGACTTTCTCCACCAACTCCCACTAATATCTTCTGTCATTGTGTCCTTGGGCAAGACACTCAACCCCACTTTGCCTGAAAGATCGCTAACCACTGCGCCAACATGTCGCCCTAAGACTAAAGGGAAGAATATGGATGGATGATGGTAACTTGTCATTAGGTAGATTAAGGCAAGTAGTAAATATATGCATGTTAAACTTAACACTTATTTATCTTCCCACTTTCTCATTTGGCTGCAAGAGATTAGTTTTAATGCTGCAGTTTCTTCAGGTCCAACGCCCATGACTCAAATGACAGCGACGGGAATACTAAAGCTCGCATGAGGATATTTAAACTGACGCCAGCTCTTAAGAAAGATATGTTTGTTTCGAAGTAAAACACTAACTGAGGTTAGTGCTAGCGTTAGCTGTATCCATAACAAAATAGCACGCTAACGCAGTTATGATTAACGGGTTACTGAATAATCAGGAAGTATTGTTTTAAATAAACTCCAGGAATGCTGAATAACGCTTTGAACGATAACCAGTTATGTGTAATTAGTGATTGTTGAGGTAAATAATATAGCATTGTTACTCACTTTGGGCGCGAGGCTCCTGTTGCGCTTCTGTTGAGATGTAAGATTCAAATGTGGGGGGTGGACCCGTGGGAAGTTCTACTGCACTGTGATTGGTTGTTTTTTGTGACGTTTCAAGCACTATCAGCAACTTATTGACACAGCGCCCCCTATGAATAAATGAAGTTATAACAGACACCAGGTGTTAGTTATATTTACATCATGGATCTATTATATTACTGTAAATATTTTTATTGCGTATAATGATCATATTGCTGGTGTGCTTTCGTTTATTTCGAATTAATAATTATTGTATAATACAATAACAAGAACATTAAATAAATAGTTAAACCCTACTGATGTGTTGTTACAACAGTAATCCTGCTCATTTAAACAGTAGCACATACATGGTCATACCCCCCCAAAAAGGATCGCGTAATCATAAAATCAAATTTAACTCATTTAGAAAAAAACGACACACCACAGGAACGGTAGTCATGTGACTCTGGACCATCTGTTTTATTGATTTAAATAAGAATATATCAAGAACAAAAATGTAATCAACCAACAAAAATCCATGCGAGAGTTGTAAAAACAATAGCAGTTTTTGGCATTCCCATTTCAAAGTTTTAAGGCATGCAGTGTATTTCAGCCAAATGAACAACTATTGTAGAAATGCAATGCTACAATAATACAACAAAATACTGATAATGTACTCTGCATTGCATATTTGATTTGCAACAATGCAATATTGGATTTCAAGAGGTCAGTCAAAAACATTTGTGATGCAGCTTGAGGAACATTTGACGCTTGTAAGATCCTAATACATAGTATTAAACATCCTGGTAACTTTAAATATACAGAGAAATGCAATGTCTAATTCGAAACCAATTCCATATATTTCTGTTTAAAAATGAGTGTAATCAAAAACAATCACACTCACCTTACAACGGAAAAAAATAAGACCATTTGTTGTCAACAAAAGCTACTTTTTCTTTTGCCTAAGAGTAAAGACAAAGTGGTGTATAGCACCAAAATGGAAGATTATTACAGTAAAACAGACCGTTTCTTTTGAACTCATTCAGAACATAAATAAACCAGACAGTGCTGCTAATGCAGACCTTTTCCATAGTTGAACTTCTAATAAAAAATATTCACATTATTGGAAAATTGGGAGTGATTTGCAAAACACTTTGATTTCCCAAAATGATTTACATCAAACAACATTGATTGACAGGGCATAGAAATACATTTAAACACAGTAATTTAACACAAACATGATATTTGAAATATTTATGTAAATGAAAATAGGGGTCCTGTTGTTTGTAACACATTGAATAAAAAAAAAAAAATCAATTAAGCACCTAAAGCTCCTGTAAAACAGATTAATCAAATCTATTAAGACAACATTATTAATGTGTAAAATGAGTGGTACAGTGAAAGCAGAGGTATGCATGCGGCTGCTCCTGTTCGTGTTTAAACCAGTGCTCTTTTCAATCATTTTCATGCCACATTAACTTTCTATCATTTTTTCTCCTGGATTTCCCGTTTGACCTCAGCTACATAATAGTGATCTTTACCATGAGCCACCTCCATAATGGCCAGTGCCTGGAAAATAGACATAATCTGTTTTATGGATTTTAGTTGGAAATTGAATCAGAAGTTCCAACAGAAATTTATCCTTACCTTTTTTAAAGCCTTCACTCCTTGAGACTTCTTTTCAAGTCCCAAATAGAGACGTCCCAATTTGAGGTACATAGACGCCACGTTGAGGGAGTAGGCAGGATAATGTACACTGTGGATAATAGTATTTTCAGTGTGGATTTTTCAAACGTTAGCCCATTTTGTTCCCCTTCTTATACCTGTACGGGTGAACAATCTTCTCTCCGTAGCTCATAGCCCCATCCCAGTCCTGCATGTAGAGACACACCCCCATTGCCTGATACATCATGTGCAGCATGTACACATTGGTGTCTGTAAAAATGGCCCCCATCTTCTCCAAGCTCAGTTCACACATCTCCAGCAGCTCACTTGGAGGTGCCAGAGTTAAAGAAAACACATCAGGACAACATTAAAAAGCTGAAAGTATGAGGTCAACAGAATTTGTTGATGAACAACTGACTCATTACAAAGAAAGGATATTCTTGTAGTGCTTCGCTCTCCTGAACTCTTCAATGACATTCTTTGCATAACGAACCATAGATTGAATTTCTTCTGGCTCTGGTCGTGTACTCAACTTTTTCAATGCCATTTTGGCTTTGTCCTTCAACAACAAAATATTCAATCTTTCTCAAAAATGTAGTCCTATTTTGAGTATCAATAATGTAATATACCTTTGACTTGGAGGTGCATTCTGTACATTCACACGTGAAGAAGTAAGAGTCTAACAACCTCTCTTTGCGGTCGTCTGTTGGATAGAGAAGGTCTATGTAACTGTTAAAAATCTGCAGGGAAAAAATATGAAATTAGTAAATTAAAGTGACACTTTTGTGAAAATGTATCTATAAAAAGAAAGCTGGTATTTTTGCACCTCATCTCCAGGGTTGATCTCCTTCACTGCTCGGACCTCAGCCACAGTGCCTTTATAAGTCACTATGACATTAGGACTACAGCTATGATTCATAAGTGCTACACTGCGATGGAAAAACAAAGTCAAGTTTAGTTTTCTTGAATCTATTAGAAGAGATTAACAGAGGATTGTGGCTCATACTACATACTCAGGAAAAACAGCTGATCCCAGATGTGAGAGCTCCTCATCTTCTATTGTGAAACCATTACAATTCACCTGAACATGTATAATATAAGTAATGATACAATTTAAACCCCAAAAAAAACAAAAAAAATCTGAATTTAACCTTTTATTTACCTGTGCTAAGAGTTCAATGAGAGCCTGTTCACTTGGGAGATCGTTGAGGTGTTTGGAATAAAAATGATGCAAAGCTGCAATGTCTGCCTGGTTCATCTCATCTTTCTCACTATCCATTTTGTCTAAATCTGAGGAAACGGTACAAAACTGTTTTGTATTGTGACACAATACACATAATTAGGTACAGACAAATCCAATGCATTTGTCTTTGCCACTCATGTTGCAGACTAAGAGCAGCTGCTCATAAATAGTTCTGTGCAACAGGTGTGGCCGAAGAACAGGGACCATCATGACATATGTTCGCTCCAATGTCAATATTAACACACAAGCTTTTTTATAAATGCTTTGAACCATTTTAACTTGTTCTTGCTATTTAATTGGCCAAACTGGATGTATTAAAAAAAAAATTCTAGTGCAGTCTTTTAAAGTAATGACTATGAAAAGACACTACAGCATGTAAACAAAGTGGATATCTCTCCCACAGTGAATTCGTTTCGGACTGGAGAGTACAGCTGAAACTATTTTTAGATGCAGTTTTGACAGAAGTCCACATTAGCGAAAAAATAAACAGCTTGCATATTCAACAACACATACACTGTGTATATCTACTTACGGGATTCAAACTCCTTCAACAAGAGGGCTCTTTCTGAAACAGTGGGCTCTGTTGTACCTTTCTACACATCAACAAAAAACAAAAACATTACAAATGCAATCTACAAACAACATTTTCAAATTCATAAGCATACGTTATTTTATCGCTCACCTGTTTTTGAATCATTCTTGCTACTAATCGCACAGTTTCGGAGGGACACCAGTTCTCCCCATAGGCACACATGGCAACACACTCCATTTTATGCAATGGCCAATCACCTCGCTGAGAATTAACCAAAATGACATGAATAAACAGTAGTAGCAATTCAGTCTGAACACTACAACATTAGATATTTGAACACTTTCATCAAAGTTATTACTGTTTTAGGGATTTTTTAAAGACACAAATTTTATAGACTGAATTGTAATAGCAGTAAGCATGTGTGCGAACTGCATATATTCTTATAGTAAAAGGGGAAAATAAACTGTTAGGGAGAAATGCGCAGAATGTCAAATTTACCTGGCAGTCAACATTGCAGTAAAAAGCTTGTTTGCATTTCCCACACTTGGAAAGGTCCTCTTTCCTGTAATAATATAAGGTTTAGTTGCATGAGATAGAAATCATTCAAATGTTGTATTTACATTTTCTTAAGTATCAGCCATTATAACAATTAAACCAAAAGGTCATCAAGAAAATGCAACAAAACAACACATAAAGATCACATTTTAACAGTTTGAAATATGCTCCTTATTCGTCTGAGATCTTGGCTCCCCTCTCCTTGGACACATGGGTGACTATTTTAGGACCATAACCTTTCACTGCTCTACAAACCCATGAATGAACATGAATGCTCTCGTATCAATAAGACACGAGGGGAACAAAGCCCTGGTCAATGCATACTTCTAAAAACCCTATCAGATTCAGATAAAGTCTAAGAACAGGTTATAATCACGGAGAAATACCTAAATGTTCGCCATGTAGGTTTTCTAGTGGATGACCCATCACCATTTTATCTCTTGAAAATGCAGGTTTTGTTAGGATTTTGTCTGTATGTATTATATTTATTCAATTCCAGACAATTTTATTGACAGAAAAAGACATGTTTCCATGATTACGACTGTTATTTCCACTAATATCTGACCCTCCCATTCAAAACTAGTACTGTACCTTTAACTGTGACGTATTACAAGCCAGATGGTAGTACAGACAAAAACAAACGATAATGCTAAGTGAAATAGATCAGGACAATAATGCAATAGTTGTCTTTCAATACAACAGGTGCAATACGATTACACGTTATAGCAGGATAAGAAAGCAGAGCACAGGTGAGTGGCTGGAGAGACCCATTGAGTCCACATGACACACACAACAGACAGGGACATGGACAAATACAGGTTCAAGATGTTGCATAATTGTTGCATTTGTTTTGCATTACCTCGTGAAGCAGTGCTCGCAGTGTGCCCCCCTCTCATTCACAGTCAGCACGTAGGAGTAGGCAGGGCAGGCGAACACCAGCTCACCCACAGAGAAGTGTCGCAGTGCCCGCAGGCCTCTGCCCTTCCCCGGGCTGTCAAACCTCTCCGTGCCCTCTATACCCTCCATCTGCAGGCTGTTCCACGTTGGTCGCCTCTTCAGACCCGAAGCTCCGCTGATCCGCTGATCCGAGTGCAGAAAGCGGCTTTAGCGCAGAGGCAGTGCGCGAGTGTGGCTTGGGATCCTTCCTCGGCGTCTGAACCACTCATCCAGTGTAGTTATGCTGCCGCCTGCTGGACACGACGAGAACAGCAACGGAGAAAACTTAATATTTACAGTCTACGGTGAAAGTCATTGTTTTTTGTTTTTTTTTTTAAGATGGAGCACCTGACTTTGAAGTCATAAAAATGAACGATGTAATAAAAGCCATGAATGTTCCCAGTAGTTGTCACATGTATGTCTTTTGGCCTCTATTCCAAACAAAATGTATTTCTAAACAAAAAATAGATACAGCAGGTTTAATCAGAGGAGGAAACTAGCTAAGTATTATTATTCTTTGAAAAGTTTACTTATCTCATTACACAAACTGGATATCATATATTCTTTTTGAGCAATTAATCCTGAAAATGTGAACGCTGAAAATAAAAATGTATCCCTCTTTTTTAGAGTCAGGTCAAACATGCTGGGATAAACGTGGACCAGTTTGAATGAACTCCACTCTCACAATAAATAAGTGAAAATAACATCAAAAAAGTTCACAAGATTTTACATGGGTTGCGCCTGGAGCTTTTTGCTTTATTACAGACATCAAAGTCCATAAAATCTTATTACCAGTGACATTTCATTGCATAATTAAATTTTTATAGTTTGAAACCTTACCCAGAAGTTCAACATATTTTGTTTGTAGGAAAAGTTTCTATAATATTTTAAAAAATCCATATTTTACTAAATAAGGGAATGATTATAACAGACTAGATTTACTAAAATTGTACTTGAAACTATTATGGCCATGATGAAGACTTAGAGGCGCATTCATACAGACCCATTGAATAATGAATAAGTCACACAGTGCTTTAGGTGTGTAGATAGGAAATAATCTCAAAAAGGAGTAAAAGTCCCATTTTCATAGTAGGCCTACAGAAGTGTGTAATAGGCTGATTGATGACAAATGTGTTTTATATATAAATGTTTTTTTATTTAAGTTAATCATTTTTACTCATTCAAAATTGCATTTCTGGAACAATTAGCACTGTACAGTGTGATAACCAAGCTAGAAACTGCAGCGGAGTACACAGTGATTGCATATGTACATCATGTGGTATCTACAAAAATATACATGAGAAGTGTAGTCATGTTGGACACGATAAGGCGTCATCCGATTAGAAATCCATTTGCTTTCTTTCCGTTCCACCATTTCCAACGCTACACTCTAGATTACATTTATTTAAGGAACTGTAACTTGAATAGATGACTAAATGGATGGGTTGAGTAGAAACATAATCCCTGCATCATAATGAAACACTTAAATATTGCAATAAACAACAGAATCATGGAAGAACTTTGGCACATTTTAAAGATGTAAACATTTAATTGATAAGTGAAGCAAAATGAGGCCCACTGCAATTTATTACAGTCTCCTATACATTAAAAAGAAATCATACTTTCACAAAAAATACTTTATCAAATTAAAAGGCCATTGAAGTTGTTGATAAGGAATCTTCAAAGAATTAAGAATGAAAACAAGAACTTCTCCCATATTTCCATGGGTGCAGACTTCTGAAGTGTGTCATTGCTTGGCATGTGAAGTCCAACTACGGAGGCTTCAGTGATACAGTCTGAACAGTGGCAACAGGACTAGTCTGACCACTCTGAAACCATAAGACTTTATTACAAAGTAGAGCAATAACCAAATGCTGCTGATGTTGTTGTGCCGAGATGAGTCCGGTTAAGTGTATCACACGATCCCCTGTGGTTCCAGTACCGCCTCGTCTAGATTTTGAATTCAGTCACCATGGCAACAGAACACCTCAAGTCACAGGATAGGCTCAATGTGGGACACTCTGTTTACATTAGACCAAAGATCAGACCGCTGTCCTCGTCAGATCAATACGTTTAGTGAAATATAACAAGATAGAGAGATGCACAGATACAAAAAAGATCCTGAAAAGTGGATGATTTGGAAGCAAAGTTGAAGTAAGACACAATTAAATTCTGTCGGTAGACCTGTTCTATAATGTTATAGAACAGGCTTAAAAGTGGGTGTCTGACAAAAGTACAGCTGCATTTCTGTACAATTTAGGGAAATAAAACGGATTTGAAGCAGACATTACAACCATGTTTGATGCAGTTTACAAACAGATGGCTCATCAAGCAGAAACATGCATTGGGAAAAATGCAGACTTTATAAAGTTAAATGGAATTTGAAGAAAGCACTGTTTTAATGATCAACCAAACACTTCTATCTTAACATGATCATACGCTACCTTCAGAGACAAGCCACAGTCGCTGAATCTAAATGTATATCCTGTTATGCGGCTACAATACACGCATTTGGACAAATAAAGTAGCACTGTTTGGGGCCGTCAGATCGAGACCTTCACCAATTATTCTAATTTTGTTTTTAAACAAACAAACAAACAAATGAAACACATTTTGTCTCCTAAATTGGCTCATCAAGTCACAACCAAACTAATGAAATAGTTTATTGATCGTTAACTTAAATGTTCTTTTATTACAATCAGTTGACTCTCCTTTGGCATGTGATCAGCTTTACCGAAACGTAAAGGACTTGTACTTTTTCATTTGTTTAAACAAATCTTCACCATCATTGTTTTTAGTCCCCATGATTAATGAAAATGAAGAATCACAAAAAGTTAATTAAGACATCTCTATTAGAAAACACAATGGACCTGTGGCCACCAGTGCCACAGTCAGACTCCAGTCTGAGGACCGGCCAGCACACTCCAGCAGTGGGAGAGTCTTCATGACGTGTGAATTGGCAATGGAAAGACTTATAGAAATAATGCAGACAATTAAATTACAAAACAAATATTTTGTACTAAACGGTAAAGAATTATGTATAAACAGTCCCCATTTCTTGAAAAAAGTAAAAACAAAAAATATTTACTCATAATTTTCTTTTCACCTATGAAGACACTGAGGTATGTTTTTGGATGGCAAGCACCTCCATGGTCCATATCATTGTCTTCACACACTGATCCCAACATCTGTCCTGCCGTAGGCTCGGGGCTCCGGCCCTCAGCAGGGGGAGGCGACCTCAGTCCCACCCCGAAGAGCTGGAAGAATCTACAGTTCAACTTCCACTGAGTCTGTCATTTTCTGGCATTTCTGCCCAGTTTCCCTGTGAAATCTGTTTGTAATCCAATTCTACGACTGTAAATTCAGGGTGAACTTCCACTGTTGGTTGAGACTGGGCCCGCAGACCTCCACCGTGAGACCCCCCATCCTGGCACTGCGGCTGTCCAAGCACAGGTTACTGCCCACATGACGGAGCTTTGAGTTGGACTCTATTTGCTCCCATTTCTGCACACAAAAATGAACCGTTAATGCATTTGAAGTCCTACAGAAATACATTGAGTCGATCTAAGTGTTACCTGTCGACTGTCATTCTCTCGACATCCTTGGAGCTTGATTAAGGAGCCGGTGGCTCTGTCCACCACCGTCAGACACAAATCCATGTGCTTCACGGACTTGTCCTTTGTCAAAGCCCATTCCTGAACAACACAGGATTTAGTTACTGCACAAAGCCTCAACAATACTAAATTGTATGTCAGATAATTACACCCACACATGTACTTTTGTGCCACAATTTTACTAGGGGGGAGCAGAAATACAACTGAACATACAACTGGAATAAATACGACTATGTATTATATCTGTAATATGATTATAAATTTGTTTAAATATCACATGTTAATTTAATAATATAACAAGATTTCCAGTAACATATGCTCAAGGCACATTCGATCAGTTGTATATAAAGCCGATACTTTTATAATTGCCCTGTGACAACTTTCCAACTTTCATGATTGAATATGTCCAATAAAAGCAACTTCACCTGATTTCCGCCTGCGTTGTGGCATTCATAAACCCCAACCACTCCATCTGCAAAATGGCCGAGTGTGTCCAGGCAGTTTCCTCCCTGCTGCAAAGCTCCAAAAGCAATGTCCTGATGATCCGGAACCCTGCAGACGGAGACCGCTTTAACCAAAATAGACCTCAATAATCAAGCAAAAATATCAAGGCCATCTTAAAAATAAATAAAGTGCAGTGAAAAACTCATTAAGATATAAGTACTTAAAACACACACACAATAATTCAATGTCTTTCAGTGCTTTACGTTCATTGGCTCATACCTCAATTCAGGGTAGACATTCTCTAGATACCACTTGAAAGGTTTGCAGCCTAATCTCTTTTTCATCTCCAGCCGACTCTGAATGCTACAAGACAGAAATCTATTATTTATCCACTGCTGTAATTAAAACATAAAAACATCATAAAAAGTAAAAATAAATGCAAATGTGGGGCGACAGTAGCTCAGTTGGTAGAGCATTGGCCTTAAGGCCTGAAGGTCGTGGGTTCAATTCCCACCTCTGCACCTTCTCCATCAACTCCCACTGATGACTGCTGTCGTTGTGTCCTTGGGCAAGACACTTAACCCCACTTTGCAGATCAAGGCTATGCTCACACTCAGAGAGCAGCCGTCCTCCTGTGGACTCACCACCTGCAGAGGGTCAGTGAGGGGCTGGTGCTATGAGACTTGGGTGGCATCTCTGATTGCCACCCCCCTGACCCAGAAATGGATTAAAGGGTAGAAAATGGATGGATGGATGGATGGATGGACCGTTTCATTTAAGTTTGATTTGCAAGTACAGAGCCAGTGCTTACTTTCCATAAGGAACATTTCGGGCAGAAGGAACAGCAGCATAATAGAAGTTTTTAAATTCATCCATCCACACCTCAGCGGCTCTTCTTGTGTTCCTGAAAGAAGAGAGAAAACTGTTACGTTCATTATAAAAGTTAACACAGTCAGCACAATTCATTCAATGAATTCACAATTAGAATTTTCCTAGAATTTCTGTAAATATAAAAAGGAGAAGAGCTGGTGTCTGTGAAGATGGACAGACAGCAGCAATTGCTGTCCATAAAAATTCAGGTATTGAGTTGGCTGACCTTAATGAGTAATAAATCAATGATTTGTGTGTTTGATGCTAGTAATTGCATTCTTTAAGTCCTCCAAGACAACTGTCCCTGAATGTAAATAATATTGAGTCTGTAATAATATTAATTGATGTGTGCTTGAGGTGTGGCGTTTCATACTCTCCCATTAGGTAAACAGGACATCCTGGAGATCTGAGAAAATGAAACTAGACTACCACCAACAGTCATTTATAAGTTCATGGAATAGATTTTTAGGGGAACCATAAAAAGCGTTTGAGTTTAGCTTCTGATGAATTATGTCCAAAAGCATTAAGGCGAAACAGTGCCATCTTGTGCTCCTGGGGTCTCTGCCAACAACCTTAGGAAACAAAATTGTCTTCACACTACACTGACTACAAGTAAAACACAATTTCACACATTTCTTTCTAATTTCAATTCCGTGCCACAATAAGTCTTGGAAAAAACCGTGGGAGGATTCTGTCTGCCTGAATATCATAATCATAATGTCTTAATTTGGAGCACAGGGTTTTGCTGGGCAAAGATCCAGGATGGTGATTGAGTATTTCAAAGCATAGACTTCAATTGTCCCATGTTTTTTGTTGGCGATTACACGTTGTCAATGTCAAGCTGCAGAAACATCTACGAACGCCTGCCATTGAATTGATTTTCAGTTGTCCGGAAAAAATGATCAAATCAGTAACGCCTTTCTAAATGCATGTTGTGCATCACAGTCTTCAAAACTCCACTGTTCTCCAAATGCAAGCTTGTACTTAGCTAGATACACACGAGGTCTGGTTCACTTGGGGGAAAATACTTCACAGATCTGTTTCGAAAATGTAAACCGCCTGAGGGACTAGTGAGTCAGTGGTTGAACATCCATAAATAAAGCATTTTTGATAAAGAAAATAAAGCCTGTGTACTAGAATTGGTCCAGTCAAAGTGAAGATGGGCAGAGTGGCTGATCTATAAAAACAGTTACTCCATGGTACACATTTCTTCTTGTCGTAGTTACCTTGCAAACACGGTGCCACTTCCTCCTGGAAACGTGTACGGATGCTGCTTTCTGAAAACGTGACCCACGCGGCTGCAGGGGATGATCTCCAGGCTGCCCGAACACTGCCACACTCGGAAGGAGATTTCTGAAACCAAGATAAATAATTGTGTTCATTTTCACTTAGTTAAAGTCATGATAAACAAATATATATATAATATTTAGCAAGTATATCAAAAAAGAAGACACATTCTCGCAATTCTAGTAAAATAATAGAAAATGTGGTCAACAAAGAAAACACCAACCAATAAATTGTCTAAAGGACAAAGGATGACCAACTCGAATATAAAGTACTTTTTATTTGGCCACTATATGAAGTGGTTTCTTGCTTTTAAGTTCTTTAAACCCTGCTGCCTCTATAGCCATTAAGGCCATTTATTTTGGAGTGAAAGAAGTGCTTAGACAATATACAGAACTTGTTATTTATGTGATTAGGACTTGTAGTCAAAGCAAAGAAATTATTATGACTCCTTCAATTTTAAACATAGCAAAAACAAGTTTGCTCCATCAGCTGTTGGTTAAGTTTTACAATGTGAAAACTTGCAGCTTGTATAAGGCCTTTATGTGGACAAAATTGACATTCTTTTCATATGTATCAGGTGCGGTTTATATACTGGTGTGCTCAATAGTCCAGCAAGTACTGTAACAAGATGAGATGTTTGTTAAAGTGGCAGGTAAAGAACAAAAATGGCTCTTATTGTCTCCATGGCGATGTGTTTCATTTGCCGACTCCTCTCATAATGTGTTTCAATCATTAACTCATTTAGCTCAGCCAGAAATTCTTGCTGACTTCAGAAAGTTTTTTATGAATGTGCTTTTTTCATCTTTATGTCTTAGCCAAGTTTGAAAAAGGAAATGACATCTTGTAATATTATAATGTTACGGCCGCTGGCAAAGCCGTATAGCCTCTCCTCCTCTCAGGTGGACGCGGTGCTCATTGGTGCGCGTGCGTCACACACGGAGCCGCGCCTTTAAAGCTCGTGCGCATGCCAGAGATTCCGGTTGGCTCATCCTGCCCCCATCCTTACACCTGCGTGTCCCGCCTCCTTGTTGTATGGTTTGGTTTGGTTTGGTTGCTTGATTTGGTTTGGTTTGTTTGCAGACATACGCTCACCGCACATACACTCGCAAGCACTCATTACAGACTTCCACACCTCATTAAAATATTAACTTTGTTTATTAATAAATATTATTTCAATTGGCAACTGTGGTTTGGCGTGTTTCTGTCATTTCTACTGAGCCGGGTTATGACAATAACAAATCCATGTAAATGAGAGGATGAAGCCTTTCATTCATGTAAATTCCATGATTATGTGCCATCACAACAATATAGAAGTTCATTCTTTGCTTGTGTTATTTCAGTTGTATAGATAACCGCTGTCAATAAGTACTTTTGATGATTTGGTGGTGCTAACCCTTGCAGCCCTGCAAGATAACGTTTTATTTTATGACTCATGATGTTATTGCCAGCTTATAGACACTGATCAATTCTGTTCTACTGCTTTAGATGGAAAATTCTTTAAAAAAGGAGCGGCTTATAGTCCGACATTACTGCAAGTTTTTTTGTGCTCAACGTTAACGTCTTTTTGTGCAAAGCTGCTTCACTCACCCAAATTCTCTCCTCCCCAGACATCCATCATCATGTCATACTTCCCCAGCAGCTCAAAGTATTCCTTATCCATAACAAAGAGACCTCCTGCTATCATCGGCGTCCTGCAGAGAAGAGAAAGATCAGCGTCTGCCCAAAAGTGCACATTTCATGAAAGTATCTGATGACATACTTTATTGGAGCAATAGGGTTTCCTTGCCGGGCCCTTCTCTGCTCGAGTGTCATGTAGTCCCATTTGAAGACCAGATTCCAGTCAAATCCTGCAAATACAAAAATATATCAGCTCCTGATGTTGTAGCAAACTCATAAATGAATCTCTGTTTAACAATTACAGCTCAAGATATTTTGCGTACCTCCTTTTAGATCGGCAGAGGCTCCCACGTACTGGAAATTATCCATGTTGATGACGTCGATGATGGGGGAAACTACTCGAGTTTTATCCTGCATCAAAAATAGTATGCATTATAATGGGGCTGTGGCAAGAGCTCTGATGTGTGCCGTCTTCTCTGTCTGGTACACACTGGGGTAGTCTTGTATAGTGTTCCCAATGTGGTTGGGAAAACTATACTGCAAATGGCAACTTAGACTTAGACTTTATTGATCCACAAGGGAAATTGCATTAAATTCTTGTATAAATTCTTGTATCATTAGAATTGGTATGCCTGATTGTCAAATCACTATAAGGAAAGTAGGTTGCAAGTAGCATGGAAAAACCCTCTGGAACGTCAGTAGTATTTTTTCTGGCCTTTCTGAATGGAGTTTGCATGTTCTCCTGAGTCTGCGTAGGTTTCCTCCGGGTGCTCCGGTTTCCCCTACTACTAAAAAAAACTGGGGGGGCTTTGATGCGCCAGTGTGTTCGGTGACTCGCTTCCGTCATCACCGTGTGCGTTGGGTATTAGAACAATATCTGAACCTGAAACATTGTAAAGTGCTTTGGGTGACCTTGGTCTGTAAAAATGCACTAAATAAACAAACATTACTTACATACTTACTTACTAGCTTGAATATCAAAACAGCATAATTACTCATTTGTCCAGGAAGTTTCAAAAATGTTATTTGGACTCTAGCCCTACTATTGTTTGACTGTGATGTCAGTCATAAACACAATCCAGGGAAGCCGCACTCTGACAGCTAAAGAATATAAATGCAAATATGATTTAATGGTTTGAATTTACAAATAGCTTTTGGGGGGTAGAAACAGAATGACATGTAAACTTGTCATTCAAAATGTTTCAGAAGTTATTAAAAATGAACATGTTAATGAGTGTTACATTTCATAGTCTCGCTTGTCACTTCACATTAATTCTGACTAAAGCTGTTGTTTTGATCCAAGTTGTTGCTCTTATCTGAATTTGTGATATTCAAATGGTTCAAATTCATCATTTGGGGGATGTTTCACTCACATCCCCCAAATGACGGGACTTAATGTGGAAGACTTGTTTCTTTGAGGACATGGTCAATATTGAGATTGAATACGTATTAAAAGTATGGGTATGTACAAGTCATGGGGTTTGTTTAAGTAACATTTTGCACTCAAGATTGGACCACAATGTGCCTTTTCAAACAGAGAGCTGATGAAGGCAGCTGAAAAAAGTGATCTAAAGATGTGACATAGGCCAAAAACACGTGCATGTGAAAATCTGTGATGGAACCTAACTCTTGAGAAGACTGATTTTAGTACATAAAAATAAAAGTTACTCCAGCTTTAAGCGTTTGTACCTCTGCAACTCTCTCCAGCAGTGGCTCCAGCCAGTGGTCGTTACATTCGCAGTGAGAGTCCAGGAAAGTGAGCACTGGGGCAGTGGCAGCATCTGCCCCTCGCACTCTTGAACGCATCAACCCTGAAGAAGACAAAACAAAATCAGAGAGAACATTTAAGACCAAATAATAAATTAGACTAAACAGAAAAGTTCTTGTCTTTGGCCAATTACCTTCTCTGCGGTCATTCCTCAAAACACGTACTTTCTCAATCTTTCCGAGAAGTGCTCCATCTTCAGCTACAATAATCAAAAAGTTTCCAACATCAGCACAAGATTTGAATGATCACTTATAGAACAATAGAAACTTCAAAAGACTTACGGTTATCACTATAATCGTCCACCAAAATGATCTCTTTGACTAAATGGGATGGGCTTTTCTTTAAGACACTGAAAACAAAATAGAAACAAAATCTTTATCGACAAGTAGATGGGGAAATAAATACAAAATGTTTGAGACCCACCTGACCACGGTCCGCAGCAAAGCAGAGCGTGCCTCGTTGTGGAAAGTGATGACAACGCTGGAAGCCGGCAAGTCTGTTTTCCACTGTTTATGCCTGCAACTAAACACACAAAACACCACAAATATGAAGTGAAAAAAGGCTGTGATTTGAAAATGACATAGGACTTATATACTTATACTTATAGGAAGGTTGGCAAGATGAAGAAAAAAAGAGATTCTCCAATGCAGTGTTGTCAAAGTAATTTTTGAAGAAAATCAAAGCATGTTACCAGCCACAATATTTTATACCAAGGCACATTTATTGGTGGAAATTATACAAATACAAAACTTGCCTTTTGTATTATCAAGGTAATTTTGTTGAGACAATTTGTTTTCACACAAAAACAAGACCAGTTCATATGGATTGAACCAAAACTCAACCAAAGATAAGGAAGGCCATGTATTACAAACTATATTAAACCATTACCATTTCGGCCCCTACACAAAGCAAGCTGCTGCTGCTGCTCTCCCTGTGCAGTCTATAGAGAAGGACAGAGGACAGTACAGGCCAGAGGACTGATGTACATCAGCAAAAATCCAACGTATGCGTTTGTCCTCATGGTTTCTGTGGGCTGGTGTGGTCTAGGGAGTGTGACAATATATACAGTGCCTTGCGAAAGTATTCGGCCCCCTTGAACCTTTCAACATTTCGCCACATTTCAGGCTTCAAACATAAAGACATAAAAAATATTTTTTAGAATCAACAACAAGTGGGACATAATCATGAAGTGGAACGAAATTTATTGGATAATTTAAACTTTTTTAACAAATAAAAAACTGAAAAGTGGGGCGTGCAATATTATTCGGCCCCCTTGCGCTAATACTTTGTAGCGCCACCTTTTGGTGCAATTACAGCTGCAAGTCGCTTGTGGTATGTCTATCAGTTTTGCAAATCGAGAGACTGGAATTCTTGCCCATTCTTCCTGGCAAAACAGCTCGAGCTCAGTGAGGTTGGATGGAGAGCGTTTGTGAACAGCAGTCTTCAGCTCTTTCCACAGATTCTCGATTGGATTCAGGTCTGGACTTTGACTTGGCCATTCTAACACCTGGATACGTCTATTTGTGAACCATTCCATTGTAGATTTGGCTTTATGTTTTGGATAATTGTCCTGTTGGAAGAAATCTCCGTCCCAGTCTCAGGTCTTTTGCAGACTCCAACAGGTTTTCTTCCAGAAAGGTCCTGTATTTGGCTCCATCCATCTTCCCATCAATTTTAGCCATCTTCCCTGTCCCTGCTGAAGAAAAGCAGGCCCAAACCATGATGCTGCCACCACCATGTTTGACAGTGGGGATGGTGTGTTCAGGGTGATGAGCTGTGTTACTTTTACGCCAAACATATCGTTTTGCATTGTGGCCAAAAAGTTTGATTTTGGTTTCATCTGACCAGAGCACCTTCTTCCACATGTTTGGTGTGTCTCCCAAGTGGCTTGTGGCAAACTTTAAACGAGACTTTTTATGGATATCTTTGAGAAATGGCTTTCTTCTTGCCACTCATCCATAAAGGCCAGATTTGTGCAGTGCACGACTGATTGTTGTCCTATGGACAGACTCTCCCACCTCAGCTGTAGTTATCTGCAGCTCATCCAGAGTGATCATGGGCCTCTTGGCTGCATCTCTGATCAGTCTTCTCCTTGTTTGAGATGAAAGTTTGGAGGGACGGCCGGGTCTTGGTAGATTTGCAGTGGTCTGATACTCCTTCCATTTCAATATAATTGCTTGCACAGTGCTCCTTTAGATGTTTAAAGCTTGGGAAATCTTTGTATCCAAATCCGGCTTTAAACTTCTCCACAACAGTATCTCGGACCTGCCTGGTGTGTTCCTTTGTCTTCATGGTTCTCTCTGCGCTTTAAACAGAACCCTGAGACTATCAAAGAGCAGGTGCATTTATACGGAGACTTGATTACACACAGGTGCATTCTATTTATCATCATCAGTCATTTAGGACAACATTGGATCAGTCAAAGATCCTCACTGAACTTCTGGAGTGAGTTTGCCGCACTGAAAGTAAAGGGGCCGAATAATATTGCACGCCCCACTTTTCAGTGTTTTATTTGTTAAAAAAGTTTAAATTATCCAATAAATTTTGTTCCACTTCAGGATTGTCTCCCACTTGTTGTTGATTCATGACAAAAAAATAAAATTGTATATATTTATGTTTGAAGCCTGAAATGTGGCGAAATGTTGAAAGGTTCAAGGGGGCCGAATACTTTCGCAAGACACTGTAGATATAGTGATGTATCGTGATACTTTCTCACGCAGTCGATTATCAATATGCTAAGTATCAATTTATTAAAAAAATATAAATAGAAAATCTTTTTTTTAAGCTTTTTTTGAAAATAAAAGTATTGATACTAATATATGGCTACAATACGCATTCTACAATTTCTGTAGAAGGTTCATATTGATTTTATTGGATGTAAGACAGTTAAGAGTTTTACTAAAATGTGCAGGTTAAAAGGCATGACACTTTATCCATTTATCTTGAAATAAAGTGTATTTTTTCACTCAATTTATGCCATAAATATAAGAAAAATATTATCGTTGGTATATTTTTTAACAATATATCAATAATCGCTGCATCGTCATATCGTGAGATAATCATTATCGTGAGCTTGGATTGCACATCGTATCGTTTCGTAAGGTACCCTCAGGTTCCCACCCCTGGTGTGGTCAAACGCAGACGAGCAGAACTCTGTTCGCGGCGCTTCGAGCCTCTGCACAGCGGCGTGCATCCTTGCATACACAACGGGTGCACATCTCAAATTAGGGATGCAGCTGCGCAAGTCCTTCCACTTCATATGACACGTGCTGTGTGTAGGGGACGTTATTATTTGGATGCTTATAATAAAAGCAAATGTTTTTGGTTGTTTTCCAGAGCAAGTTGGCTTTAAAATTATTTATAACGTGCCACAGTTGCCAGTTATTATCACTGTTGGTCAATAGTAAGGTTTAATGGTCATATCAGGTAACAGGCTGTGTGTTTTGACATTTTGATAGAGCTGTATCTATCAGAGCTGTACATACTGTAAATATGTTTCATTGTCTAATTCTAATACCGTTTCCCATTCAGTAGATTTTCTATATTGTATTAATATTATGTTTTGTCGTGTATCGTAGGAGTTCAGTCCTTTACTGCAGAGAACCATAATCCCTGGTTGTGCTGCTAGTCTTTCCATCACTGCTGCCCAAATGACACATCACTGCAAAATCAATAGAGGCACATTTCTCCTCTTTTAGTGGCCTAATGCCTCTCGCTGTCAGGTCAATAAATCAGCTCAGCCGGACGCTACTTTTTAAGACCAACGGCAGTCCACTAAAGCAGAAGTAAGATGTTGTCATGGTGAGAGGTCAATAGATTGCGTTATGGTTGCGCAATTAGATTAATGCAATTCAGAATATACAGAATATTTACAAATATTCAATATAATTTAAGTAAAGGGTGGACTTAAACTATATACTACAAACATATTTTCTCACTAAAATCATGCTCCCGCAGTTACCATCAATATTTATGAAATCAGGTGTCAACATAAATACATAAATGAAAAGTGCTTTAAGATTAAGACTTTAGAGAATTCTAAGGCTCATGACACATGAAGTTCAAGTCCCATATTCTAAAACACAAAATTTAAAAATGAAAAAAACCGGACTGCATAAAGAAACAAATCAGTGATATGATTGTTAAAAAGTAGAAATTAAAAATCAATTAGCCACCATAGACTTGTGAAGTGCAACTATACCAAAAACTATGAGTTAAAAGTGTTTTTATTAGAGATAATAAACATTTGAACTTTTCATTAAAGAAGTATGTTTTTTTAAGTGAGGGCTTTTGTGTGACGATTACTCAATTGTGAGGTGAAAAGTTGGAACGCGCCATTTTAGGAATCAAACCTCAGACAAAACAAACCTGCTGCTCAGCCACATAACTGAGAACAATCAGAATGCACAACATGTAGTTTGAGTTATGAATAGAACTGAGAATGTACTCCTCTGTGGGAGTCTGCTCAGCTACTTCCTAGATTTCATCAGATAGACAACAATGGGGGGTGTTTCCAAGAGATTTTATCCACTGGAGCACTAATTACTCAGATAAGCAGACAATCAAAGAGCCCAGGCACACACGCATCAAATGAAAAACATCTTAATAGAACGCTCCAAAGTTAAAACCCACAAATATTCTTTACTGAAATTAATGATCAATGAGATGTAGATCCATGGATCTACATCTAAGCCTATACTCACTGGTCATGTCGAGTATCAGGCACAGCTCTGTCCATGCGCAGTTTGTCACTTTCCACTTGGTTGAATTTGTTTCTTGCATAGGGGTCCTGTCCCGGTCGAACAACCGTAGCGCCAACGTACAGGTCCTGATCGAAGTCCTGCCATCGCACTTTCCCTGGGACACACACACACACAAACGTCTTATTTACAAATGACTTGGCTGAATTAAGATATTATTGTAATTACATTCATAGCATTAAAAACATTCCATTCAACATTAGTATGAATGAAAAAATATATAAATTGCAAATTAAAACCATGGTCATTGTAAACATGTTTAATATTAATATTAACAATGACAGTAATACACAGAGATTCTGTTTAAGGGACAGGAAACACGTTTTTAAAAATGAAAATTCAACAATTTGGGATTTGTTTGGGATGCTATTCACGACTGACGGAAGAAGCGGAGCTTGACAGCGCCAACAAGGCAACAGGGCGAGGTTCCATCCTCACCATAGGTCAATAATACGTCTCACTGCAGATTATTACATTGCATTTTCTTAATTCTTGTGAATTAATTTCAGAAAACAATTCTTGAGCAGTCAAACAGCTGTCAATCCTTCAGTCCGGCTATAACATTCTACAGTGCTAAAAGGAGAAAGTTGTCATGTTTAATTTGCCAGTTTATCTTTGACTGCACAGACACGTGCATAATAATAAACTAATTAGCTGTTTGCTGCTGCTATGCTAATGAGCTGTGTTAAGCATATGGTATTGTGAGATTACACATTCTGTGTGTGACAGGCAGAGGAGAGAAGCTGAGCTTGACGACTGGGGGAGCACTCTCCTCGGTGCAGACTCGCACTGACAGAAAGACACTATGTCTGGCATGCTAATTACTGATCCCAATGAGCTGCCTGTTACTGCAGCTCTGCATCATGTCCTCCTGCTTTAACATGTTTTTGTCATGAACATTTGGACAAACTGGACAAACGTGTGGGACATTCCTGCTTGGACCACAGACATTACTTTCTTCAAACGTTTCCAACACAGCTTTAGTGCATGTACTGTTATCCGGAAGGTCCAAAAGATTCTAGTGCCCGAGCAGACAAGAGTATAAAACATAGCAATCTCCATGGAAACAAGTGAGCACATAAAGTCATACAACCTCCAGTAATTGAACTGATGAGATACGTTTAAAACCAAACATTGGAACTTTCCTAAGAATAAAATAAATTTAGATTAGGACCAATAGGTGTTGAACCCGTCACCAGAAAACCTACCACTTCTATGCAGTATATACACCGGGAGTTTGCATACACTACGTAAAAGACATTTTCTCACCATCTGAAAGTAAACTTCTGACTTGAAGAAATCAATATTGTGGCATTGAGCAAGAAATATTACTAAAATTGAAATAAAGAAACAGTTGAGAAAATAAAGATGCATTTCATTGTTTAAACTTCTGGTTTCTACAGTTCATTCTCTTCATAAGCTGCAATCCAACTTTAACTTTAAGTCCTCAATTCTTTTGTATTCCTTTTGATAGTTGGCTCTCTTCTATATTGCAACATTTTGTCCCAAGCTACGAGCTTGACAATATCAAAGAAAAGCTGGGACAGAGATAGAAAATGTCAGTCTCCGGTGAAACGCCCTTCAACATTTGGATTTCTATTGCAGCAGCATCAGATAAGGGAGTGTTGGGCTTTCACAGGCCACAGACTCCTGCAGGAGGTTATGACTCAACAAAGGAAAAGGCCATTTTTAAACACCACCGAATCTTAATTCTCCTTATTTACAACTAGTTTTGATTGATTCAATCAATTAGTCTTTATTTGTCAGACAATATAAAGTTCCCCGGACCAAAGTGATATCATTCCCATCAGAACAAAGTGGCAAACATTTGGGGACCAAGCTTTGGCTGCAGCTGCCCCCACTCTCTGGAACTCACTCCCAAAACCCATCAGCGACTCAAAACTGTAGATACGTAACTGTTTAGTTTGTCCAATGATTATGATAATTATTATCTCATTGCAAGAAAAGTTGCAAAGATAATTTACAAATATCATGCATTATTTGAGGATAAAGAGGACGGTACCTGGAGGAAGAGTTTCAAGCAGGTTGGTTTTGTCGTCTGAATTGTGCAACTTTTTACTGAGCGAGTCACTGGAGCTCCATTCATCCTGAAAACAGACACACAAAAAACACGAACCCTTTTGTCATCGTAGATCATGCAAAACATTTTTACTTTGTTACATTTGCTTACAACTTAGCAAAATTGTTTGAAAGATGCCTAAAAAAATGTAAATGTGTAAAATAAAATAGGCCACTCATTACAAAATGTCAAATTTGCTACTAGGAAAAGAAAAACACTGCATGGAAAATATTATATACAAATGCTCTTTTTGGACAATAAACTTTTTTTAACTCAATAATAGGCCACGGTGAAATGTATATAAAATGTATCCTCAGAATCAGAATTATTTTTATTGCCATTGTCAGTAACACGTCAAAAACTAAGACATTTTGAAAAAAACTACAAAATAAGGCATAAAGACTACTGTGTAACTTCTGCTACATACAAGTGCAGCAAGTACACACAATAGACGTTTAGCAGTCCAGTAAAGTAATAGTTAAGTTTGATTATAGTCCTGCTTATGTAATTAGTTTATTAGAATAGCACATATTAAATGAATGCATTAACAAACAGATTATACACACATATTCTGAAATGTTCTAGCCTGACACACAAATCATGTGGAACTGGCTGATCAGGCTAGGAATACACACAAAAGCTAAATTGCATCTTTATTTTTTCTCAAATCATCATCTAGTTTCCATACTTTTGATAACCTCAAGGCCAGACTAAAACCACTTAATTTTTTTATCCCATTGATTTGAAGCACTTGTCCACTGTTCTTCTTACATCCTCTCTATCGACTTAATCATCGTTTGTAATGGCGGCATGTTATCCCTCCACTTCAGATGACAAACAAAACTAAATGGCCGAGAGTCTATTTGAAAACAGACCCCATCGAGGCTCAGCGTGCATTAGTGACACTCAGTCGAAACGCGTGCCTTCAGAAAATCGTTCACTCCATTATATTGTGAGTGGCCCGGGTTCACCTCTTAAACGCTGCATCGATCCTGTTCGCAGCTTCATCGGAGAAACCAGTGACACGTCTGATTATCCCATCGCTCAGAGAGTGGACATTATAGATTCTATACTTCATGCTTTTGTGATGGACTTATTGTGGTCCTGCACTCTTTTAACTCCAGGCTTGAGACTTCAAAAGCAATGTCTTTTTGTATTTGAGTGGTTGGTCTTTGTACTTTTAGTCACAATGAAGTGGTATGAAGTAAAACATAATACCTCAAATCAAAACAAAGATGAGATTTTCAGCTGGGGTACCTAATGTTCATAGTCTTGAGTAATATTAACATTATATATATTTTTCAAACTTGTAAGAAAGAGCCCTGTGAGTCACTGATGTTTAGGATTGAGTGAAGATGGTCCTGTTGTTGTCACTTTTCTTTATGAAAAACAGATCTAAACATGTGACTGAGGCTAAATATACATGCATGTGGAAATTAGTGATGTGACTAGAATGTTTTAAGAGCAAGGAACACATTTAATATATACTTTGTGGTTGGGAAGTTAGGTACCCCAGCTTTAGTTCAATACATCTGGCCAAAGTGTGTTGTACAGTACCTCTTTGAATAATTTATGTTATAGTCAACAGTAACTTTACCATCAATTGTGGCTGATCTTGAGATATGATATATTGTAAAAGAAAAAAACGAAACTAAAACAAGTATTATATACATAGGTATTTGCCATATTTAGACAAACTCTTAAAAATCACCCTCCAACTTGTCAAGCAAAACATTGACATTTTTTTCCTCACTTATCAATCTTCCATCTGTCTTCCTCTTTTCGAACTTCTTTTCAAACTTTCTCCTCTTATTCTCCTTCCTGCTGCGTTTGTTTGGCAGCCGTTTGCTTTGACCGCCAGATGGACATGACACATGCAGAAAGGCAAAAATAGTGGAGATGGCAGTCACCAAACCAGCTCTTACGCTTCCCTTGGTATATCATTTTGAAATCAGATATGGCTTTATAGTATGTTTACAATGTTTGGAGAAATAGAGCATTTGGGTTTGATTGTAGAAGGAGGGAGAACAAACTGCTGACATTTCCCATGGTGTTAGAGAATGAAAGTTTGTTTGAGATGAAAGTTTGAAGGGACGGCCGGGTCTTGGTAGATTTGCAGTGGTCTGATACTCCTTCCATTTCAATATAATTGCTTGCACAGTGCTCCTTGAGATGTTTAAAGCTTGGGAAATCTTTTTGTATCCAAATCCGGCTTTAAACTTCTCCACAACAGTATCTCTGACCTGCCTGGTGTGTTCCTTTGTCTTCATGGTTCTCTCTGTGCTTTAAACAGAACCCTGAGACTATCAAAGAGCAGGTGCATTTATACGGAGACTTTATTACACACAGGTGCATTCTATTTATCATCATCAGTCATTTAGGACAACATTGGATCATTCAAAGATCCTCACTGAACTTCTGGACTGAGTTTGCTGCACTGAAAGTAAAGGGGCCGAATAATATTGCCCCACTTTTCAGTTTTTTATTTGTTAAAAAAGTTTAAATTATCCAATAAATTTTGTTCCACTTCACGATTGTGTCCCACTTGTTGTTGATTCATGACAAAAAATTAAAATGTTATATCTTTATGTTTGAAGCCTGAAATGTGGCGAAATGTTGAAAGGTTCAAGGGGGCCAAATACTTTCGCAAGGCACTGTAACTATTCCCCCATACATGTTCTATAAACAAAAGGTTCCTAGTGTTCAAAATTAGTAAAAAATGTGAAATAACTTAAAATTGCACTTTTAACTATTTATAAAATGTATAACCATTACATAAAATTATTGAAACATTAAATTAAATAAGTGAGAGTGGCCTCTGCAGCTACCCAGCCAAAATATAGAACAGTCTTCCTGAATTTGTGAGAAAGGCCTCCTTTTGGGGACCACTCTGATTAGCTGTGCATAAAACTGAAAGATTTTATCCTCATAATTGTAATATCATGTGATTATTAATGCTTGATCTATGTATTTCAATGTCCCCTTTCTTCTTTTATAAAGCACTTTGAGTTGTGTATGAATTAGGTAAAACTTTGTCCATGAGCCCTTCCATATTTGACTTTATGGAGCTTTGGAGTAATATATACACAGTCTGGGTTTGGTGCTGAGCTTCATATATGTGCATCAAGACAAAAAAACGCCAGACAAGTCAAATGTAAAAACATCACTTGAACTGAATGCTAAAGCAGCATCTCCAGAAATATCCTGATACATAAAAGATGAGACTGTCAAACTGGATTTTTAGATTGAACAAGAAGTGGAACGAATTGGCTCAGATCAAAAGTGGAGCATCTTTTTAAACCACAACGGAATAGAGAACATTGTACCAAAACGTTCCAGGAAATGACAAACATGAGGTTATATCACACGTTTCCCGTTTTTAGGACAAACTGTTTTCTACATTAATAAATTTAGAACTTCCAATTTTAGACACATAGTAATCTGTTCTAGTAGTGTTGTCCAAACGTTTTCTCTTTGTTTTATTACAATATCTCACTCTATGATCAATCACTGCTAGGGATGTAAAAAACTATGAATTTTCATGACCGACCACCGAGCCTCATTAACCGGTTGAAACCGGTTAACCGCGTAGTTTAAAATAGTCCACGTTCTTTGAAATAACGGCCATTTCGAGCCGCGTACTTTTCATAAGTGCAGCTCTGCGTTCTACTGGATCAGAGCCGAGACAGCGGCGCCCAAACCCGCAACAGCTCCGGCACCTTTGCGCACAGAGAACTGCTTTTTTAATCTTCCCATTCTGCTGTGCTGCGGGTTAATACCAAAACTTTCTAGCAGCAAACGACGGCTCGTTCACATGGTCAGAGCAGCGAGTGACGAGCCGCGTCTCACAGGTCTTCACAAAAGTTTAAATACAAGTGATGTGTGTGGAGCTGATCCCGAGGACCATAAACACAAACATGGTCCATGTGGTTTGACTGAAGCCGTGTGTTTGCGCGAATCCTTTGGGCTCCGTGACACAGAGGAGCGCGACAGACCGGTATGTGTGTGTGTATGTGTGTGTGTATGTGTGTGTGTATGTGTGTGTGTGTGTATGTATGTGTGTATGTATGTAAATGTAAGCTCCAATGTAGTTCTGACCCGCGCCAGTGTGCAACTTTGACGGTAACAGAGGGGAGAGATGATGCGTGTGGATGTTACGTATGGAGAGGGGGAAAGTGTGTGTGTGTGTGTGTGCGCGCGCGCGTGCGTGTGCATATGTGGCTCGTGCGGCGTGAGAGTCGTCCCGGAGTTTATAATACATGGGCGCACACAGCTAGATACGGACCCGCTCGTCACACCGTGCAAATAGGGCTTAAAATAGCGTTATGAAGAGACCTCCCCTCTCCCCTTTTTCTTTTTTTTAACCGACAGCTTTGACCGGTTAACGCTGTGACGGTCAACCACCGGTTAACCGGTCGCCGATTTACATCCCTAATCACTGCCATCACCCATATTCTAAGTTTATATGAATGCAGTAATCTGACTAGGCTTTTAAAATAAGTTGCAATAATCGTGTTATTATCCAAATCTGAAATGAGTTTACATTGCATGCATTCTTTGCACACACAGTTACTGTATAAGATGCAGAATTTTGGCATTTTATTTAGTATTTGCACAAACCAAGTTACAAGGGTTTAAATATGTCACAATACTCAGAGGTAAGGGATGCCTGCTCTAAACATTATGTTCAGAGGGTGTAGAGACCAAAACAAAATAAAGACCTAGACCTCATTGTGTGCTGTACTGAAGTTTTTGTTCTTCAATGCACAATATTATACCAATACGAATATCAACATAAAATATGTTTCAAGCCTTGTGATGCAACAAATTACCAATAACCAACCACAAAAGGGACATATACGACCTTTTACAGCAATAATAAAACTTTTTTTTTAAAGAAAATATACATATAATACATCCACTATAGCAAAGAAAACGTACACACAGCATGATGAATACTAAGGCCAAACATTTATTTTTCTTAGTGCAATTATAATTGATTAAAGCTGTCTAATTAAATAACTACAA